TCACAAGCCAGGGTAGTTCCACACAGATAGGCAGAAGTTACACAGCAGTAACATGGAGGTTCCTTTGTACTTTGGGGACCGCTCTTCTGACTCAGGCCTCAGCATCTCACTTCTACCACTTCCGCAAAGTTCCTTTCCCTGTTACTATTTCTGTCACAGCGCTGGTGGGCGGGGACCTCGGGCCACCAACAGGGGAAAGTAGAGCTGGTGCTGTGAGTGTGACTCTGTTGTGGAACCCTGGGCTCAGGGGCTGATCACATGACTTCTGGGGGAAATCTTGAAGGTCCACGGTTTATAGCTGTAAGCAGTATGTTCACTAGGAAAGTTTTATTTTTATTTTATTAAAGTTGTTACCTGTGGTATGCCAGGAAGCATGTTACTAGTGAACCATGAGTACCCGAGTGCACTGGTTACCTGACAAAACCACGTTAAGGAAGGGAGCGTGTCGTGACTGGAAGTTTGAGGGCACAGCCCATAGCAGTGAAGGAGCCATGGTGGCAGGGGCATGGGGCAGCTGGCCCACTGTAATCGGGACACATGGAGAGACGGATCTTAGCTCACCTTTCCTTTTGATTCGGTTCAGGATCCCGTCCTGTGGGATGGTACCCCCTACCTTTAGGGTGAATCTTCCCACCTCAGTGAACCAATAAAGAAAACCTATCCCTCAAGGCATGTTCAGAATGGCATCACCTAGGTTGATAGACCCTATCAAGCTGACAAACCACTAAATCACCACAAGCCACTTTTATTGTGCTTGTGACGTTATCATGTAATCATTTCATGTTATCTGTGTTCTCACTCAAGTCTCACAAAATCCTCCAACTGGGGATGATTAGCAATTCTGTTTTTCAGATGTGAGAACTGAGACCTAAGGAGGTAAAATGTTCTTTACTATCAAGCATCACTCACAGGTGCGGGGACATTGGGCATTATCAAGGCCTGCCCCCTTCTTACTCATGCAGTATTTGGGAAGGTAGTGTCTGGACTTTGCTTGGTCATCCCTGGTGCTTGGAGCTCGGTCCCTCTTGGAGAGTCTATGTTATCTTTGAACAGTTCTGGCTGTAGCAACATGCTTTTCCACAGGGAACCTAGACCCATTTCTCTGTACTTTCTGCTTGCCTGTGTGGTGGAAGAGCAGCGGGCCTCCACTCCTCAGCAGCAGAGGCGGCAGGTGGAGGCTCCCCTGGGCCTGCTTTCTCAGGTGAGATGGCATGAGGTGAACACTTGTTTGTGGTTTAGACATTTTAAGGCTACGTAACTCATGACATCACATCCCCATGTCTGCTCACAATGGTGGAAACAACGAGGAACATTCCAAGAAGCGGATTTGTTTCCACCGCCCGTCCCTGGGGGACAGCCCTGTCAGCTGTGCGGATCCCGGAGGTTCTTAGAAATGAAGCCTTCATCTTGTCTTAAGACCAAACCCCTCCCTTCTCTCTCCCCCCCCCGCTCCTTTCCTCTCATTCTCTTCACTCATTTCTTCTTCCTTCTTTTCTGGCTTAGAAGCATTAAAGAATATTCTATTCATTTATCTAATTGCGTATGTGTGCATATGACCCTTTAAAAAAAAGGTCAATTTAGAGGCTCAAACTCATGTTCTCATGCTTGCAAGGCAAGAATTTTACCAACTGAATTCTCTCTAGTTCCTTAAAGGAACAGCTTAATCTCCCAACCACAGTTAAAGATCACATGTCTGGTAATATATTTCTCACCACGCTAACTGTGTATAACAAGTTTCAGGAGTAGGAAAAGTCCACAGAAATTAACCCAGAGTTGCTTTGTGTCTTCAGGAACTTTCAGATTTGGCTACTAAATAGTAGGGGTTTTCCCTTCTGAGAGGTCCCTGTATGGACGTTCAGGGGCGTCTCTGAAACAGATGCATGTGTGTGAGAGAGAGGAGGGTGGCCCTTGACATTGACGTTGGCCTGGTGTCTGGGGATTGGCTTGGTGCTTGAGGCCAAGCTATAGTGTTCATTGTGTATTATGTCACAGAATGCCAAGGCCAGACAAAACGCATGAAGACAAGAAAAGAGTACCTTTATGATCATGTTTGAGCAGAGAAGAAAAACAAGAACATTGTCCAAACCATAAAAAACATCTGTATCCTCTTTGCTGGCTAATCTGAGAGCCAATGGCTTTTTTTTTTTCCCAACTAGAAGAGAGTCAAGATGTCCATTATAGGGTTGCCCCTGTGTCCAGCCCAGAGCAGAACTCTGCTTCATTGAAGTCTCCCCACATAATCTCCAGAGCCCAAATTGCATAGTCTTTTCTAACATCCTCTTACCAAGAGGGCTTATGCCCACCCCTCATGGTGTGTTTTTCCCCGGTGAAATCAACAAATTCTATTCAATTACAAGTGTTCCTGCTTGAACTGACTGCATGGTCTGCAGCTTTAGATTTCAAAAAGAACGTGAATGTGACGGGAAAGTCCCAGAACCCAGGCTGACCTGTCCCTCTTCAAATTCATCACTAGAAACCTCCAGTGGCCTCTTCCCACTGAGAGACGGTGCGTTAGACCGTAGTCTGTTCAGTTTCCCTCTTGCTGAACAATGGCCTTCCTTTCAGCCTCAGTTGCCCCTTCCGTCCTGAGTCTTAGGTGATCTTCCTGCTGGTTTCTGAGATGTGAACTTTCTCAACACAAGCTCACCAGTCAGCTTCTGCCTCACATACCCCGCCTCCTGCTGATCACCACAGTCAAAGAGGGGTATGCTGCTGACCAAGGGTCAGATCCATCTTCCTGCACTCACACCCATTCCCTGCGTGTTATTCTCAGCTGTGTTTGCACTACGAGAGCTGAGCAGCTGCCACAGAGGCCGTATGGCCTGGGATGCCTGACATGTCCACAGATGCTCAAATCCAGCCCATGGCAAAGACAAGCAAGCGATCTGCTTATTGAATCCACTCTTCCATTCCTCCTCCTCCTTTTAAAGACAAGGTCTAAGACTCATCAAATGGGCTAGGGTGGTTTTCCGGAGAGTTCCTGTAACCCACCTGTCCCCACCTGCCCAGCACTGGGGTCACCGGTGTATGCCATCACTCCCAGCTTTTTACAGATTCTGGGAATTGAACGGGCTTCTCTACCTCCCCAGCCTAAGACGAACTTCCTACATCTCAACTGTTTATATGTCAAACTGGCTTTTCCTAGGAAAAATCTAGACCTTTACTTAATATTTTTCCTTAGAGTTACTTCTGGACACAGTTATGGCAAAAGAAGATTTTAAACCAGGACTTGGACTTGCTGCTTCTGTTTTTCAAGGACCTGCTCTATAGAGCTCTAACATGAAAACCGTTGATGTTCTGGTCAACCTCTGGGTTACGTGCCTCCTCTCTGCTTTGAAGACGATCCTGCCTCCTCCACCTCCCCAGGGGCTAACAACCTTCTCTAGGAAGCTCCGGACAACACCTTCAACTCTCTTCACATTTATAGATAGATACATACCTCATTACACACATGCACGCATTTGGTTTTGTTTCCTGTTTCCCATCATGAGATTATCAGACGATCTTAGTGCTTTAGATAGAAATGGCTAGAATATCCAGGTCCCTGTTTTCAGACAACCAGACAGATTAAGGGAGCTTAATCTACCAATGAGGGGCAAAGCCGAATCTAGAACTTGGATCTTCATGTTCTTCACCGTCAGTGAGAAACCCACAAGCAACAGCTTCCTGGATCCCTGTCAAGTTCTGGGCATTGTGCCAGGCCCCGGAAATAAAGGTGAATCGAGTGGTTGCAGACCTTGCTCATGCACAGCTCATAATGGACTCAGGGTGGCAACATGCTACACAATTCTATATAGTTAAATCATGGCAGGTGTACAAGTGCCTTGGAGGAGAAGTGCAGTATGAGTCAGGATTTGGTCTAGTTTGGAGTGTCACAAAATGTGACTAAGGAAGTGTGCTTGGAAGGCACAGGAGCAGGGAGCTATCAACAATTCAGCTGCATTTATGGCCTAAACTGGTCAATGGTCTGGTCTACTTGCCACCATGCTTGGGGACGGAAGCCCAACAGCTCCGTCCCTTGTGCCTTGGAAGCAGGTCCCTTCACTCTTCATTCCACAAGAAGAGGCAAGAGCCACATGCAGGTGTGCTTAGCCGAAGCCTCTCTACTCTCACTTGGCATCTTGGTCATATGCTGTATAGCTTGGCATTTTTTTGGCTTTGGCACCAAAAAGTCCTTAGTTCCTGGAAGTAGAAAAATCCCTGCCATTGATGAGACAAGCTGTGAAGCCTCAGATAACGACATTGACTTGGTAAAAGGCAGATTCCTTTGGTCCTTGTTACCATGACATCAACTGACCTAATTACACATTTCTTATGTTAACTCAGTGGAGCTAGTTAGCTTACACTTAAGAAACTCTGGTTACATTTACTTTCATCTTAGAAAATCAACCAGTGCAAGCTGTGGGCTCTGCAGCGGTGTGGACATGGGACACACTTGGGCTTTTATTTCTGCTTCTGCCTCACACTAGGCTGGGGAATTGCTTCATGTTTTGGAGCCTCCATTTTGGCAACTGTAAAATGGGGATAATAATCATCCCTACGCTCTGTGAGATTCTTGAGATACTGAATGTAGATATCTAGGAGAACTCTTTCCTAAGACCTAACAGGCTCCATGCAGAGTCACTTGGAACTTAAACTCTTGTATAAAGCACAAACTTAGGATCCAAAAGAGACTAGGTCCAGGCCAGAAGGACAGTCTCTGAAGTCCTGGTTTTTTCACTGGGGTCTGCCTTCTGGTAGAGCAATTACTGGCAAGAGCGAGTTCCTGGGGAAATGGATATGTGCTGAGGGAGGGAGAGAGGGAGGGAGGAGAGCAGAGGCTTTCCTGCCAGGGGTGCAGAGAGCAGGAGAGGGGAGCCAGTAGAATGCAACTCTCCTGCCTTCTCATGAGCTGAGGGCTCTGGGGGTGGCCTTCCGGGGTCAAAGTTCTCTATTGCCATGTCCCCTCCTCCGTGTTCCTGAAGCCAAGCCAGTATGAAATAACAGTTTTGAGTGCAAAGTCAAGCTTTAATGGCAAAGTCAAGCTTTAATGGCCAGTTTCTGCCCTTAGTATTTTTCTTTCAAGTAAAGGCTCTGTTTTTATAGGGTGCTGCATTTCAGGGGGCTCCTTTTCTGGCCCCAACACTCACTCCCAACTGCTAAGTGTTCAGTGTTGTTCAGTTTATTGGTGCTGATGTCCAGTGACCTTGGGAACCTTTATTCATGTTCCCACAAGGTTTTGCTATTTCACAAAGTCGTAACTTCAACTCGTGCCTTACTAAAAAGAAAGGGCAGTGAATTTTAGGATAAGTTTTCAAGAAAGATTGCCTTCCAGGAGAGAGAATGCCACCAGCAGGAGTCTATGGGGAGAGCCACACGGCCTAATCCCTTCAGGCATTTTCACAGCCGTTTAAAAAGATGTCTTCTGCAAACTCATCCAAATTAGCTAAAAATGCTTGACATGATGGACATGTTGTGTCTGTGGGCCAATATTCAATCCAGGTGGAGGAATCTAGAGGGTAGATGTACCTGTCAAGGCAAAAACGGAAACAGTGTTGGTGATGGTGGCCACAGACAGAGGAAAGCTATACTTGATTTCCTTGGGAAGAGATCAGATGCGGGCAAGTGTGTGAGTGTGTGATGTGAGTGGTGTGTGTGTAAGTGTATGGTGTGTATGAGTGTGAATGGTGTGTGTGAGTGTGATATGTGTGAGTAGGTGTGTATGAGTGTGTGGTGTGTGAATGTGTGTGGTGTGAGTGGTGTGTGTGTAAGTGTATGTATATATAAATGTGTATGTGTGATGCATGTGAGTGTGGTGTGTATGTATGAGTGTGTGTGGTGTGTGTGTATGAATGTGTGTGAGTGTGGTGTGTGTGCATGGGCATGTGTGTGGTGTGTCTCTCTACACTTAAGACTCTGCACACCGAGGGAGTGGACAGTGACCAGAGGATGTGGACGTGCGTTCTCAATTCCTCATTGGGTTTTGTCACTTGGATGGCTTAGCTCTCAGTCAAGGCTTCAGCTGTTGTGAAATTCAAGAGGCTTCATTAATACTTATAATGCTTTGTTGGCTGAACTTAAGACACCAATGGAATGTGAGTGTAGCTAAGAATAAACGACACTCAGGTTGGAGAAGAGGCCAGAGCTACAACTGCCAGTGACTTACTTGAGACTGAAATTGAGTTTGATCTGCAGAGCCTCTTTGCCCATGATCAGATACTGCTTCCCTTTCACCAGACCAGCATTGGCGCAGCTCATCTTCCTAATGAAGGTGATTTCAGAGCCCTTCTCAGCAGTGGCTTCCCCTGAGAGACACATAAGGAGGGTTATCAGAGTCACATTTTAATGTTACAATTATGAACTCTCTTCTTGAGCTGCTCAGTTCCCCATGGCCATGAGAGGTGAATACTGTTGAAGAGGGGTACTACCCCTGTGGTTGATATGAGACTGCAGTCAGGCTGTCTGGGTTAAACACCATCAGTGCCACTTCCCACCATGTGGCTCTGGTCACTGATTTATGCTCTCTGAAGTAAGGGCTCAGTCCCTCATTTGAACAATGAGCATGACAATATTACTACAGAACTACTAAGAAGGCTAAATAGTCTAACATGAAAAGTGCTGAGGGCAAAGTAAGAGTTGTTAAGTGTTATTATTTCTCATAGATCCAGGATTACTGTTTAATAGTTTTGTTCAGTATTTATCTCCATGTGTTTTATATATATAATTAAGGATGCATTTGGTTGTTTAGAATATTATTCTAAGCTGTGTTACTTTTGTTTATGTTGCATCTGTTTAACTCTGTGAAGCTGTGTTACTTTGCCTGTCTAAAACACTTGATGGGCTAATGAAGAGCTGAACAGCCAATGGCAAGGCAGGAGAAAGGATGGGTGGGGCTGGCAGGCAGAGAGAAGATATAGAAGGAGAAATCTGGGAAAGGGATGAGGAGCAAAAGAACAAGAGGAGGACTTCAGAGGCCAGCCACACAGCCACACAGCCACACAGCCAGCTACAGAATAAGAAATAATGAAAAGTATACAGGAATAGAAAAAGATAAAAGCCCAGAGGCAAAAGATAGAAGGGGATAATTTAAAGTTAAGAAAAGCTGACTAGAAACAAGACAAGCTAAGGCCAGGCATTTATAATTAAGAATAAGCCTTGTGTGTGATGTATTGGGGAGCTGGGTGGCAGACCCCCCAAAAGAGTGAAAAAACAACCAACAACATTTTGGTGTACCAACTTGGGGCTCTTAAATTTCCATAGGGCCTGAGAAAGCTTTTAAAGAAAAGGAAAGGAAAAAAAGACAAGGACATGACTGTGTCCTTTAAGAGTTGATGTTTGATAAGCACTGGAGGGTTCCTGTTTCAAATCACCCTCTGGAGCGATGGAAGGATCTTTCTACTGGCACTTGGAGGAGACCCAATCTGGTGTTGGTGTGGGCCTGGGGTTCTGTTTAATGTCTTTCCTCAGGACAATGAGGTTCCTCTTTGGGTTCCTGGGCACTGTGTGTGCCTTGTGGCTGCTGCTGAAACCCAACATGGCAGAGACCTATTGGGCCTTCATGAAAAACTCTTCCCTTCTGATGCCAATGGGGATTGAGAGCCCAATATGGCCAGCTTTGGGAGGCATTAACGTAAGCCTAGGAACTGTAGCCATGCGGTTGGATTCTCCAGAAGGTAATGTATGGTAACTGCTTTTTCAAGTATGTTTGAGAACGTGTCACCCAGACACCTTGGAGATTAAGGATAACCCTGAAGGTCACTGACCTCCATTTGTTAACAGTAGCATGCCAGCTAAGCCTTTTCATTTTCGAAATCCTCTTCAAGCTGGTTTTCAGGAGCAGCTCTGTGCAACATTTATTGACCTCCTGAAATTCATTTAGCCCCCTTTGAAGATACCTTAAAATTTATGAGCCTAAATGTAGCTATTATAAGACCATTAGTTATGCTCCTTGTGAGCTGCCTGTTTTTCCTTTATGGTTCTTAGTTGTTCTTTTGCAGAGCTGCCTGGTTAAGTCGTGCTGGGATCAAGAAAAATGGGCCTTGGCAGTTCGTGTTCCTGGAGTCGTGTCCATGCCAGTGGATGCCCACACACTCCAGAAGAGAATTTGACATTGCTGCTGCTGTTGTTGCTGTTATAGCAGTGGCAGCCACCGCTGCTACTGTTTCTGGGATTACCATTTCATAATTGCTTACTACAGCTAGCACAGTGGAGACCCTGGCAGCAAAAGTAGCTACCACAGTTAATCTTTCATTCTATTGGGCATGATAAATTTAATTCAATAGTTATATACATTGCGATTGGCTTTTTGAAAATTATAAATTTATAAACTCAAGTTCCATTTGTTTTTGGGATACCATCTTACAAGGACTCCAATTTGCAGTAAGGCTCGTTAAGGAAGGGAATGGCTCAGTTGCCTTTAGCCTCCTGGCTATAGGTGGGTTAGGACCTCTGTTGGTCTTTTCTGTGTCAAACACACAGATTGCAAACCCAGTGCCACTTTGAGATCTTTGGCAGCAGTTAACTCTGCGGCTCACACACGATTGAGCCTGTATGATAATGAGTATTCAGAGATGGGTAATACCTGGGGGGTGCTCACCAACCTAAGACAGAGCACCTGTGTGGCCTGGGCAGGCATCTCCATGATGAGTAAGGTGACCTGCTGACGTCCCACGCAACCTAAGTCAGAAGCTCATTTATTAGTAAAAGGGGGACCTGTAGGGCTCTGGGCCCCGTTTTGGGTAACTGTTGCTTTGCTTGCTGACCTTGACCTTGATATCCTCCCTATGCTAATGCCCTGCCGGGTTCCACTCTCCTGAATGCTTAAGGGAAGTTCCTTGTCTGTGTATCCTGCATTATGGGCATTAACAGCTTAGATGCAAGATTGTAAAACATAGGTAGCGAACTTCTGCCCTCCGGGGTTCTCCCATTGTGCTGTAAGCCTGTATTTAAGACCTCCTCCCTCCTTCAATAAACAGCATTCAGCATTAAAAAAAAAAAAGAGTCGCTGCTCAGCTGGCAATGCTAAATAAAAATGGCAAGCTAAGTAAAAACTGCTTGTAGCAACTCAGGTACCAGCTTCCATAGCTAGAAAGGTTTACTGCAGCTCCTCAGACAAAGCTCTGACTGGCCACGAGTTTCATGCTTGGTTTTCATGACCTGAGAAGTGGGTGGAGCCAGTTGAGACCTGTGTGTGGAGGATCCAAGTATAGGTTAGCACTTTAAAGGTTTGCTCACATGGTCAAAAAAGGCTGAAGGTATGCAGTAAAAGAGGTCCAGATGGAAAAACTTTTAAATAAATTACAGTGTGTTTTACAATGTGCATAGGCTTAAGAAAAGAAAAAGGGTATAGTCATAGAAAGAAATGAATAGTTTAAAAATAATAATAAAGTCTTTAAAGAGAGAGTAAAAGTAATATAAAAGGAAAAAGTCACGTAAGATGGGAAATACACAGGGAGTCTGGATCCTGTATGTTATTGTGTTGATTTTGAATTCTTTGATTGTTGAAAAGCAAAGGACAGCTGCAAAGAGACCTGGAATTGAAAGAGGAACTGTTGAAATAAACCAGCCTATATACTTTAGGAATGCCTTAACTTCTAGAAAGTCAAAAATTATATTTGTCAAATGGAAAGCAAAAATTCTTTGGAGTTTTGTTCCCACAGGAGATGAGAGGCTGTGGATTCCTTCAGGGTTAATATAGATCAGGTTTGATCAGGTGAGACCTCCTGAATCTTGACAGGTGATATCTATCAGCAAAGGTTACTATTGGTCTTCTCAGGACTTGGCCATTATCTCAAATTTTCTCTCTGGGACCCTAAAGATACTTCGTCCACAAACAGCAGGAAGCAGTTTGGAGAATACTAGTCCCACTTTTCTAAGAGTTTGGGCGTGTGGGTGATTTTTGGTTATTTGGTGGGTGATGGATGTTTGTTATTATTTAGGAGAATATAGAATATTGACACAAACTTAAAGTTATTTTTGTTATGCTGTATATATGTTTCTACTCTTGTTTAAAGGATTTTTGTATATTGATAAAAATTTAAAGTTATTTTTGTTACAACATATTGTATATGTTTCTATTCTTTTTTTTTTTTTTTTTTTTTAGGTTTTTCGAGACAGGGTTTCTCTGTGCAGCTTTGTGCCTTTCCTGGATCTCGCTCTCTAGACCAGGCTGGCCTCGAACTCACAAAGATCCGCCTGCCTCTGCCTCCCAAGTGCTGGGATTAAAGGCATGCGCCACCACCGCCCGGCATGTTTCTATTCTTGTTTAAAGTATTGTACCTATGCAGTTTACTTAAAAATGTAAGGTAAAATTCTAGTTTTTGAAAGCTATTATTATAAATTATATAGGAAAATCAAGAAACATAGGTCAGTAGTTAGTCATTTATAACAATCATATTTGTAGATATGTTAGGTATGTTTTCTAGGTTAAATAGATATATTTTAGATAGATGGTCTTCAAATACTTCAAAAACCTATAGAATATGGTATTTAAAATGTTTTGTTAGTTTAAAGTTTTTTTTTTTTATGACAATGAGACACATCTGCTCCTGGCATCACCAATTTACTTCAGAGAAGATGATGGGCATTGAAGAAACTCCTTATGGAGTTTGCTTTTATTGTGGCAAAGTTAGCCACTGAGCAAAGAAACTGTTCTTGCTTTTGACTGCTGACAATGTGCTGTGCAGACTAGACATGCAGGGCACATAGGAGAAAAAAAAACTGTTGAACTTTGCCAAAACAAGGCAGGACAGTCTTTCAAAATTCCTGCTTCACAGAAGAGTCTGTCAGACATTCTGCAGGACACAGAAGAAAGTGACTGCTAAACTTTGCCAAAACGATGCAGGACAGTCCTTCAAGTTTCCTGCTTCACTGAGAAGTCTTCCAGATACTATGGGCCTATAGGCTGAAGATAGATGTCCCAATGTTGCACTAGGAACTTTGGGTGACTGTCCAGGCAGCCAGATGTCTTTGTCATTACTAGAGTTTTTGGAAATTGTTTGCAATGCACTTACTGTTTACTCAAATAATATTATATCCTTCTGGGTCTTTGATGGAGTTGAAGTTACAGTTGCAGTTTTCTTTAGTTATGATAGAGTAAATTAGGTTTAAAACTTTAGATTCACTAAGGTAGGGTAGATAATGGAATACTTTCTTTTAATTTGCCAGACACAAATGAACTGGAATCCATTGTGAATGTAATCTTTACTTGATAATTGTTCTTATTGTGTATAGTCTTATTATGTTAAAGTTAAAACCTTGCTTTTTTTGTTTAGACAAAAAGGGGCAAATGTTGTAGAATATTATTTTTAAGGTGTGTTATTTTTGTTTATGCTCTAAAATGTTTGTTTAATGATGCAAAGATGTATTTGATTAAATAAAATTTACCTGTGATCAGGAGGCTGCGTCAGCAACTAGCTGTCCGAAGTGGTGGGAGGAGCCGGGTGAGAAGGGCTTTTAAGGAGGACGAGGGAAGCATGAGGGGTTTTTGGGTATGTGAGCAAGGAGAGGAGGTGAGCTACTTGCTTTTCAGTCTCTCTGGGGAGCTGAATTCCATCTTTTTTTTTTTTTTTTTTTTTTTTTTAAAGATTTATTTATTATGTATACAATGTTCTGCCTGCGTGTATGCCTGCAGGCCAGAAGAGGGCACCAGATCTCATTACAGATGGTTGTGAGCCACCATGTGGTTGCTGGGAATTGAACTCAGGACCTTTGGAAGAGCAAGCAGTGTTCTTAACCTCTGAGCCATCTCTCCAGCACTGGCTGTGAGCCATCTCTCCAGCTGGAGAGATGGCTCAGAGGTTAAGAGCACTGGCTGCTCTTCCAGAGGTCCTGAGTTCAATTCCCAGCAACCACATGGTGGCTCACAACCATCTGTAATGAGATCTGGTGCCCTCCTCTGGCCTGCAGAGATACATGCAGACAGAATACTGTATACATAATAAATGAATTCCATCTTAACCTTTGAATCATGAGTGCTTTAGAGGGACAGAGGTTTAGTTAAGTTCCCTTTGTAGCTTTGCGAGAGTCGGAGCCAGAGGGAACAGGTTTCCCTTTGGCTACAACCCATGTGGCAGAGTTGCTGATTCGGACAGCTGTGGCTTAAAAGGCAGCAACAATTTTGAAAAAGGACATTTGGTAACTGGCAATGGTCAGCTTTCTAGAAAGGCATGAGATGTGAAAAGATGGCAAATTTTATGGACGATAACTTTCGGATTCCTAAAGGACTCAGAAGTAGCCAGGACCTGTTGCTTCCACCCAGAATGCAGTCTTCCCCAAGTTTAGCCTGTTGAGTTTCACATGTTTAAACCTACCTTCACTTCTCACAGCGTCAGCTAAGCCCTGCTTGTTTACCTTTGCTGTAATAGTAACAGAGATCACTTCAGGTCTTCTACCACTGAGCTATACCCCAGCCCCTCTCCCACTTCTTTTATGTCTTTACACATTAACCTATCTAATCTCCCCCTCCCATTCCTCCCTCCATCCTCCACCCCCTCTCTGTCTCTCTCTGGTATATATGTGTGTGCTTATGAAGGCAAGAAGTTGACTTTGGACGGTTTCTTCTATCACTTTCCGTCTTAGTTTTGGAGACAAGATCTTTTAACCTAGGGTCACCATTTTGACTAGACTTGATGGCTAGGAAGCCCCCAGGATCTATTTGCTCACCCCCACCAAGGCTCGAGCACTGGGCTTATAGATGTGCACCATTGCATCCAGCTATTTACATGAATGCCGGGGATCTGAACTCAGGTCATCACACTTGAGCAGCAGGCTCTTTTACCCACTGGGCCACCCCCCAGCACTTACACCTGAATTTCTACTCCAGTTTTCTGCCCCACATGTCTCAGTTCTCAGACACACTAGAAACTTCTTGAGGGCAAGGACCGGCCTGACTCACCGCTGTAATATTTGGGACCACTCTTCAGCTACTTAACTGTGTCATAGTCTCCCTAGCGTAAAGCCTAGAGAACTCTCCAACCTGTCAGTCAATGTATATAATTGCTGCATACATAACTTTTTCTAGTACCATCGATTCTAGCATACACATGCTAATTCAGACTGATTTTTTTAGACTGTCCAAGGATACAGCTCTCCGTTGTAGCCACCACCCTAGCCACATTCCCAGCACCCTCAAGCCAGCCACTGTTGGAGAAAGCAGTGTGGCAATACTGGGTCTTAATATTTTACAACTTTTTGTTAGTGAAAAATTTCAAGTATGTTCAGAAGAGCAGAGAACAGTTAACTTCAGCAATTACAAACCTTTTCTTTTGTTCCCATGTTCTCGCTAGCATCCTTGAATATATAAAATAACAATTTATCAATATAACTTGATACTAAAAATGGGTTCTGTGTAAGTAGGAAGCATGAGGGCTTCTGATATTATGTAACTTCAAAATTTCTAATAAGCATTAAAATTACTAGAATTAATCTTCAGAATCCACAGGACAAAGAGGAAATGACACTAATGAAGGGCTGTGACTTTGGGACCGCCTGACACCATGTGAAATCAGAGCCATGTGGGTGTCTGTGGACAACACCATGTGAGCACTGGGATCAATCAGACTGACACTTCGCATTTCTCAGGAGAAAAAGATCTCCCTTCCTTTAGTGGAAAGACAAATGGCAGCCAGAGGAGGCGGCACACACCAGCATGTAGGTGGCTGATACAGAGGATTGTGAGTTCAAGGTCAGCCTGAGCTACACAGTGAGACCATATCATTTTAAAAGTTAAAAGATGTGGCTAATTATTGCTTCTGATGTGAATATCAGATGAAAACAGTGCTAAAAATATGGAGAGTGGGAAGATGACACAATCAGAATGGCTCAAAACTGGGGAGGGGCCACCAATGACACCAAAATGAAAGCTGACAAGAGGAACCAGGAAACGTTTGTGTGTGTGTGTGTGTGTGGATAAATCAAATAAAAAATTGGAAGCATTATGAAAAAAATTTAATTCTATATAGGGCATGATTGTCAGAATTGATGAAGACACACGTCAATAAAAACACGTTACAATGTGGACTTACGGCACTACTGACTGCAGAATTTATATTTACTCCAATGAGATGTCAGCTGTTTAGAGACATAAACAAGGGAATGAGCTTAACTTACTTAATAAATATTTAATCATATATGTGTTGTAAGGGCCAGCAAGATGGCTCAGCAGGGAAAGGTACTCGGCTCCAAGCCTGATGACCTAAGTTCAAGGCCCAGGAGTACATGGGGGAAGGAGAGGGCCAGCTCCTGCACGCCATGCTCTGACTCCCTGTGTGTGCCACAGGTGCACACACATGCACACATGAGTAACTGTGATAAAAGGTGTGTTTTAAGTAACTTACATGAAACATGAAAGGCTAAAGATGGTTATGCTGACGTAGAGAGCATTTGCTAAAATCTGTGATAAGAGAAGTCATTGAGAACTAGAAACTTCCTGAAGGTGAGACCCCGTGACTGTTTTTGAGTCAACTCCGTGTCTGGTACAGTGCCTGACTGGTAAGCTGCACCAAATGCTGAGGGGGAGCAGGACATCTCACCTGTTCTGTAGATGTCCAGAAGAGTCGCAGTGTACTTGACAAAAACGTTTTCTTCAGTGGTGGAAATGATCCTAACCTTATAAGCTGGTGAAAGCAAAACAGGACAAAATGAAACAGTCCAGATGGAACACCACCAATGCCACCCCCAGAGGAAGCCAGGGCTTGTCATCGGATGAGGAATGTGGACGGCAGGTATCAGGACACCCTAGGGTGGATCTCATTTATTCCCTGGATCTTCCCAAATCCCTCAGCTAAATTGTTAGATTAAAAAAAAAGTGAGATGAATTCAAAGGAAGGAAATACACAAAGTTGATTCTGATGTCAGTAATTCTGCTGAGAAGATCCTGTAGATCACGATGGCACTAACAGCAGGACCAGGGTCACTCCATTCCTATCACTATTCCCTCATGGCCTTGGGCAAACATTTAACCTCTTTGAACCTCAGTTTCTTCACTGGTATATAGTGATGGTGGTTTGATGCTCTAGGGTGGTGGGTCTCATCTTCCTAACACTGTAACCCTCTAATACAGTTCCTCATGTTGTGGTGACCCCAACCATAAAATTATTTTCGTTGTTACTTCATAACTGTAATTTTGCTGCTGTTAGGAATAATAATGTAATATCTGATATTTGACCCCAAGGGGTCAAGACCCACAGGTTGAGAACTGCTGCTTTAACGTGTCCTTATGGAACTCATGCTTTGGTTAAGTGTGAAATGTCCTCTGTAAGGGCGTGTGTTTGAACGTTTCTTAAAGGTTCCACAACCTTCCCCTCGTTGGTTGGGAAGGTTGTGGAACCTTTAAGAAATGAAGCCCTCCTGGAGGAAGTGGAATCCTGGGGTGGGCCCTGCAGTACTGCAGACATGGCTCACTTCCTGTTCCCTTTCTGCTTCCTGAGTACAGATGCAATGTGCCTTCCCTGCCTACAGCATGTCTCCCCACCACAGTGGGCTTTATCCTTCTGGAACAACAAGCCAAAACAAAGCCTTTCTCTCTTAAGATGCTGTTGTTATGGTGTTTTCTCACAATAATGGAAAAGGGATTAAGATGTTCAGCAAAAAAACACATACAAAACATACAAAAAACCAAACCAGCTCCGTGTGTGTGTGTGTGTGTGTGTGTGTGTGTGTGTGTGTGTGTGTGTGTGTGTGAGTGTGTGTGTGTGTTTAAACTTGGAAACAACATCCTTTGTGAGAGAATTTGAAAATAATAGTGTACAGTACTCTCCACCAAAAAAACCAAAAAAACAAACCCAGACCCAAACCAGAAGTACCTGAAATAGACACAGGGAATGAATGAAAGGCCGGTAGAGGTATCCCACACCATGATGGGCAGAGGTGTCCCCCGCCATGATGGGCAGAGGTATCCCAAGCCATGATAGGTAGCATTTGACTCCAAAAATAAAGGAGTGATTTATTTAGTTTTCTTTCTTTTCTGTTTTCTTTCTTTTTTTCCCCCAAGGGTGTCAGATCCCCTGGAACTGGATCTGACCATGTTCAGATGTTATAAGCAACCATGTGGGTGCTGGAAATTGAACCTGGGTCCTCTGGAAGAGCAGCCAGTGCTCTTAACCCCCAAGCCATCTCTCCAGCCCCCACTTATTTAGTTTTCTACTTCAGTGATAAGATATACAGATCTCATAGGTAACTCATAGAAGAAAAAGTTGACTTGTGGCCTATGGCTTCAGAATTAGGACCCATGATGGCAGAGCAAAGGCACCATGACAGAAGAGCTAAGAGCTTATATCTTGACCCTCTAGTTGGAGGGAGGGAGAGAGAGAGAGAGAGAGAGAGAGAGAGAGAGAGAGAGAGAGAGCCTGGGAAGAGCATGGACTTTTGAAACTTCAAAGCCTGCCCCCAGTGACACACCTCCTTCCCAAACAGTTCTACCAACTGAGGACAAGTATTACATGTATGAGCCTGTGAAAGCTGTTCTCATTCAAACCACCAGAAGGATTTAATTCTCTCAGGGACATCATACAGCCTATAGCTGTCCATGGAAACTTAGATCTGAGCTCTGGACAATGAGAAATGAGGAGAGCCCCAAGCACAGATGGCAACTCTTTACATATCAAAAGTTGTTTAGTAGCCCCCTCTTTGCCTTAAAGAAAAATTTAAAGAAATAACCTTTGTTTTTTTCTCCCCCTTCTCTACTGTCTCCACTGGAAGAGCATACAACTGAAATCCTAAGAATCTGTGGCCTTTCTTTCTTGGTGTGTGTGTGTGTGTGTGTGTGTGTGTGTGTGTGTGTGTGTGTGTGTGTGTGTGTATGTTGGTGCATATGAAGGTAGGTGCTCATGAAGGCCGGAGAGCTTGTATCTCTGGAGATGGAGTTGCAGGAGGAGAGTTGCCCCACATGGGTGCTGGGGACCAAACTCAGAGCCTATGGAAGAGAATTCCACAGGCTTAACCACTGAGCCATCACTTAAGCCCCAAATTCTGTGGTTTTTCAAAAGTTGTCTTGGAATAGGTATAGTACATCTATTCAGAAGGCCTAGTAGGGGAAGTTTTGCTGGACACCTTACCATATGCAATCTCCGGTTTACATGCCGTTTCTCTCCTGGTGTCTGCGGAGATGGACAGGTCCACTTCTGCCTTCAGTTGCCCACAGTCAGCTGGGTTGTGTGGGGAAAGAGTGAGCGTTAGGTTAGTGTACTGAAGGGGGCACCCTCTGTGCAAGTGAACAGTCTTCCAGTGAACAGTCTCCCGTGAGCCCGGAGATAATCTGGGACCATTTCTTACAAATGCCAGATTCCTAAAACCTGTCCATTTTCTTCTCTTCCAAGTGAAACATTATATAAGGCAAAAATGAAACCAGCCAACCAAAGTCTTAACACAGACTTATTACATGGCTACTTATTCCACAGCCAGCTCTTCAGAAAAGCACATCCTTCCCATGAAGGAAGTGCATGGGGAGTAACTTTCCATTTTAGGAGTTTAATGAAACATAAAATGATGATTTGATTTTAGCTATAAGAGGGTACAATAAGGAACTAAGAAGTAGAAAAACAAAAAATAACTGAAAACAACAAATAATAAACAAACCCTAATAGATGGTTAAACAATCAAAACCAATGTAGACTCACAGAGAGATGATGATTTCTGATGAGTTTGGGTGAGTTGCCAAAAAGGCTTCCTTTGATTTCAAAGAGACAGAATTAAACTTGGAGAAGTGACAGAAAATCCCATTAACCAGAATTAAAAGAGAGAGGAAGGCCTGGTGGCCTAGACCTGTGTCTCTGTTCTCTTTGATTATGGTCCTTTGCTGAAAAATTAGGTGAAAGTAAAAAAGAAACCATGACTACTACATATGTCCCCCTGGACACCCAATGGCGGTCTGGATGGAGTTTCCGTTCTTGTGGAGGGAGGGTCCCACCAGGGTGTGTGGGAGCGCTGTAAGGAAGTGGCTCAGGGAATAATTACTTTCTAGTCAGCTAAGATTCCATATCTACTTCTGAGAAACCATGGTTTGACCAAACAGCTCCCCAAGATTCCCTTCAGACAGGGACAGGCAGAGCAAACAGGCAATTACCTTCCACACACTGGCATGCTGCTCCTTCACAAACTCTCTGAAGTCTGGTGTCAGAAGTGCTGTAAAACATGGTGCACTGCTTGTCTGTGGGAATGGAGACACAGTCACAAGGAGTGGTGGGCTGCTACACAACACATGCAGTCATTGAGTCTCTTACCAGGGGCTTCAGAGATGGTCTACACCAATCTTTTCATTTACAGCTCTAGGCCCACAGAGGTTAAATTATGAATTGGCTGTGCTGGAAGGGTCCCTGTTCCTGAAGAACCCCACCTCCACTTTGTTATTTTGGCTCTGTATTTGAAATTTTACTGTTTAGCAGTCATTTCTTAGAATGCACACACACACACACACACACACACACACACACGACATGGGATATATACATATACCATATATGCATATATATGAGAAGAGAGATTAGGTATGTTCTATGTGAATTCAGAAGATGAACCTAGCGTTTGCTCCACTTAAGGATTTTCTAACAAACACAGCTGCCCAAAGTGGATAATCACTTCCCCTTCTCAGAAGGAGTTGGACTGAGTTCACATGTACTGGATGATACAAGTGAACATATCAGGGCATGAGGATGAACATATGTGAGGGCTGGTGGGAATGGTATAAAACCAGGTAATTTCAGGGCAAGGTGGCAACTGTAATCTGTGTGCCAGCAGTGAGAGAATCAGAAAGGGTGGGGTCGTTCTGAGAGGATGAAACAATTGGGCAGTAACTGGGCTACTTTAGAGAGGAGGGATTCAAGTGACACCGGGAGTGACTACCACAAAGGAACTCGAGGTGAAACATTTTAAAGTTGAGGGTAATGTAGTCTGGTATTCTAAACAGGAGGAAGATGAGCACCGAGGCATGAACCGTTAGGCTTGATTACGAAGTTGTTTGAAGGCAGTATTTAAAAATGAGTGTTTAGGTTGGACTTTTCAAAATAGGCTTTAAGAAAGGCAGTCTGTAAAGTGTGCAGGCCTCCTTGGATTTCTAAGATACACAGACTCTCCATAGGAAACTAGAGTTGAGCAGAGCTGGTTACCTGGTCTATGATATTCATACACTGTGAAGGTAGCAGGATTCAGAAACCCAACTTGGAAAAGCTCAAATATCCGGAATTGGACACAAAGGAAATCTCTGGAGGGAATCTGTTTGACAAATTCAAGGTTGTAAGAAGCTGTGGGGGAAGAGGTATTCACAAAGGCTCAGCATGTAAAGATGTGCTGGAAGGTGGGAATGCCTGGAGGTGGAACTTACCGAATTCAGTTGCAGAATAACATGGCCGTCTTTGATCTGGTAATCAGTTAGGAGTTGATCCACTCCTTCCACAAGCTAAAGAAGAAAGAGGAGAGAGAGAGACAGACAGACAGAGACAGAGAGAGAAAGAGACAGACAGACACAAAGAGGCAGAGAGAGAGAGACAGAGACAGAGACACATACGGAGAGACAGAGAGAAACAGAGACAGAGACAGAGAGAGAGACAGAAAAACAGAGAGAGAGCACTTGAATTTACTTTCTCGTCTTTGTGTTGAATTACATTTCCCTGTTGATTAAGCCAGAGTATGATCCAGCACTCCGAGCTAAGGATGATCCCTCTTTCTGGAACCCCCAGCACATTGCTGCATGTATGCACATGTTTTGGTTAAGTGACCATCCTGCTTCATTTTCTTAAGTCAAATCACAGTTGTTTTGGAAAGAATATTTTGGGTGATTGTATGAGTGAGGTATTAAAGTAAAAGAATATAAATTTGCCCATAAAATAATGTAGGAAAGAAACCCCAGCATTCACAATATCTCAAAGAAAACACTTGCAGCACGTAAATCTTCTTGGTTAGCTCCAATTCCTGTTGGCAGAGAGATATCCATCACTGCGTGGGAGGATCCGGATGCTGACTCTTCCTTGCTGGGCTTGTAGCTAAAATAAATCAGAGATTAAGAAATGGATTAAATAAATTACAAGATTTTTAAAGAAAGAGCCCCATTCCTTAGCTGTCTTTATTTAGTTTTATATATATATTTTGGAGACAGGACCTCACAATGTAGTCCTTGGCTGTCCTGAGACTATGAGAACTATGTAGCCTAGGCTGGCCTCAAACTCACTGAGATTGGCCTGCCTCTTCCTCCCCAAGTGCTGAGATTAAAGGCATGCGCACTATGCCTGCCCTTATCCTTTAAGTTTTAAATTTGGCCCTATCAGAATCTGTGAGTGTTGGAGTTGCGGAGGGTCTTTGGGCCATCTATTATAAGCTGTCCTTGGCCAACAACACCAGCACACCACTGTTCTGGAGCATAGAAATCATCCACTCCATGACAATAGATGAAATTAAGACTGGAGTGCGGCACCCAGCCCAGAAAACACAGGTGCTTCAAGCAGAGCTGTGTATGAATCCAGGTTTCTTAATTCCTATTCTAGTTCTTTTTTTAAGAGACTAATTCGAACTAAAATATTAATTGTGTATCATAAAGAGAACCCAAACCCAAATGCTAACCTTAACCCTACTCAGACCCTAACCAAAAGAACTAAACTTAACCCTAATCCAAACACTAAACCTTAACACCTAACCGATAACCATAACCCCAACCCAAATCCAAACCATACCCTAACCACTAACCCTAACCCCTAACATAGACCCTAAACATAATCCTAACCTCTAATCCTAATCCTAACACTAAACCTAAGCACTAACACTAACAACTAACCATAACCCCTAACACAAACACTAATCATAACCCTAACCCTAAACCTGACCATTAACACTAACCACTAACCATAACCCCTAACATAAACCCTAACCAAACCCTAACCCCTAAACCTAACCCTAACTCCTAACTCAAACCCTAATCATAACCCTAACCCATGACCCTAACCCCTAACTGAAACCCTAACTATAAACCTAACCCCTAACCCTAATCCAAACCCTAAAACCTAACCCAACCCTAATCCCTAACCTAATCCCTTACCTAAACCCTAACCATGACCCTAACCCCTGACCTTAACCCTAACCTCAAGCTGACATGTCAGCAGCTCGTTTCTCTGCATGGTGAGACTGTGCTGGGTTATATTTCTTCTTTCTTTACTCTGCCTGCTTTCTAAGTTCTCAAGCATGGGTACTTCAAGAAAAAACTGGGCCTTCAAAGACTCTGTGGTCTAGAAATTTTGCTAGTTTGAAGTTAAGGAAAAACAGTGAGTAAAATAAGACCTCCCTCTCCCTCCCTCCCTCCCTCTCCCTCCCTCCCTCCCTCTCCCTCCCTCCCTCCCCCCTCTCTCCTCCTCCCCCTCTCTCTCTTTTTCCACGATCTCTTCCTCTTCATCTCTCTCCCTCCCCCCTCTTTTCCTCTCTCTCTCTCTCCCCCTCCTCTCTCCCACCCCCTCTGAAAGGGGATCAGGAAGTCTGGGTCTTGTCCCAGTTTTACTGAGCCATTTCCACATATCATTTTCTTATTTGTGGAAGTCACTGTGAGACGTATAGCCAGGTGTTTTAAACCATCTTTATGACTCTAGGGCTTTGAGGGCGGAGGCTTAGTGCTACCAGTGGCAGTTAGGGGACTGAGGAGAAGGGCGGGTGGGGGGAGGCAGGGAAGGAGCTACTGAGTGGCACAAGGTGACCCTGGGCTTCAAGATGCTCAAAAGCGGCTGCATGCTGGAGCAGAGCGGGGTGGTGGTGGTGGGTGGGTGGGGGCACTTGGGAAAGAGGAGGTTCAGGGGTAGGTAGCTCACAAATGATTTCACCCAAAGGAATGGGTCTTAGGGAAACAGATGGTACTGGGAGCTGACGAGGTATCCAGGTACATCTTTTCCTCAGCCACCTGTGAAGAGCATTCAATCCAGCTCTTATGAGGAATTAAAAAAAAAATCCCATTTATCACAATAATTAAAGGCACTAAAAAAAAAAAAATCCCTGACTCATAAAAATGTAACTCCATCCTCACCAAAGGAGCCATTTAGAAGGGAACACGGGATCCCTTTGACTGGTGTCTTGACATCTGAGCACGTCCTTAATTGGATGGGGAGAATCGGGGATTTCTGGCTCACAGATGCAAATACTATGTCTGCAGGATGCAAAAAGCCTCCCGGGTGGAGAGTGTCCATGAAAAGGTTGGTGGAGCTTGATGACTGGTTGCCATGGGGACTGTTTCAATTGTTGAACAGAAATCCTTCGTTCAAGAAGCCCTTTGCCTGCTGCCAAAACCAGCAATCTTCCCCAAAGGCATTTTGTTACAGAAATGAAATCCTTCCCTGGCCCTCCCCTTTTCTTACGATTCTACCAAGAGGTTGAAAAAAAAAGAAAAACTAAATACACAAAAGAGGCCTCTGAACGTACAGTGTGCTGGCAATTTTTTAATCGAGAGAGAATATTTGAAGGCAAAGAATTTCTTAAATGAATAAAGACTGCTTAGTTACTTTGGAATACACCCAAGCTAACTACAGTGTCACAGTTCTAAAAGCAACTTCCACCGCCTTTTTAGGACCCCCCCCCCCCAATTTGGAAAAACAAACAAATAAGCAAAAAAAAAAAAAAAACCAAAGCAAAACCGAAACAACACCCAAAAGAGATGCTCTCCAGCACCATAGTTCCACTTGCTCTTTTGTGCTCTGACAACTGGGATCAGGCATCCTCTCCAGGAAGTCCAAGAAGGACTTTGAAAGTGTCCTTTTGTGTACAGCAGGGTTGGGGACAGTCAGAACTGGCAGAAACTCAGAGGCAAGACTGTCCAATGTGTCTTACAGGACAGGCCCCCAGACTGAACTGATGTGCTCTGCTGAGGATCACTGGAATGTTTGTGGGAAGGGCTACCTGCAAGTGCGTCACCCCCTTATCCCAGAGCTCTTCTCCAGGCAGCTCCGGAGGTCACCTGTCAGTCCCGAGCACTGATTCTAGCTCTCAGATGATTGCTTAGACTGCTCTGTGACAAGTGTTACACATTTCAAAGACAGCGGTGGAGTTGCCCCGTCCCCAGCTACAGGGACTTAAGAGCAGGAATGGTGGCTCGCTTGAAGAAAGCTTCTGGGAGAAGGTGACCTCGGCAGAAAGACATTGGGATGAGGGGTTTGAGAGGAAGCAGAGGGTGAAACCTGCCCAGGGCAGATGTAAAGAGGCTGGAAGGAAGAAAGGGAGGGGTGGGGGAGGGAGGGAGAGAACTAGGAAGGAAAGAATTAAGGAGGGGAGGACTACTTCCCGCAGGGAATGAGGCAGCTGTGGTGAGAAAATCCAAAGGGGTGAGAGACAGGCTCAGGATCACAGGAACGGCTAAGAAATAGCTGGGAAGGAGACGGCAGAAGAGGACTATTTCTCGGGATCAATGGTCTTAGTATGCAGCCATTGAAAGAGGTGGTTTAGATACTGGATGGGGGCGGGGCACAGGAGCCAGGGGGTTGAGACCTTGCCTCTGTCTCTGATGGAGAATGTGGCTGGTTACTTCACCTCCTTTATTTCTAAAACAAGGGAATTCCTAGTCACCAGCAAAGTCCGTTCAGTTAGAGTCTAGTACACATCTTGCACCAATTTTCTCGGTCCACACTGGGCACTATCGTGTGTGATTACAGGTGTGCACAAACAACAAAACAGGACTTGGCCTTTGCCTTATCACTGACAACACTGAGATTTATGGAGGTGGAATGTGGGGGTGGGTGTGGGGGGAGAAAGAAAGAAAGAAAAAGGAAAACCCCAAAATACCAAAACCAAAATAAAAAACAACAAACAAGCACAACACAACAAAACAAAACACTAGAAACAAACAATCGAGTGAACGAATGAACAAGCAACTGAGTATCCCTGGCAGGGTTAAAAGGCTTGTTAAAAAGGTTACTGTAGCGGAGTAAGACCCCAGAAACCCTGCTATGAAATGGGCTCACCTGGCACATGCTACTATGTTCTTGTGTTCGGAGTCACTGTAGCTGGAGTAGCTGGAGGCTGCCACATAGACAAACACAGAAACCAATTACAAATAGGAAGTAAACTCTTTTTACTTATTTTGGAGCATGCGTGGACAGAGTCGTTAAAGAGAAAGTCTCTAAAAGGACAGAGTCGTTAAAGAGAAAGTCTCTAAACACCCTTAGAAATGGTTTGTGATCTGGAAGTTGGCACTTGTGGCGATCTTAAAGTCACTGGCAAGAGCGGGATGCCACTGTCACTAGAGACGCTCTCTGCTCTCAAATCTCTCATGTGTCTGGGGGATCTGGAAAGAGGGGTGGAGGGCAGTTTCCTGAAGGAACAGGCCTGAGTTACTGATGAGGAAGGTATCAGCACGTATGTGGCCCTGGGGCAAAGGTCAGAAGAGGACAGGAGCACGTAAGCAGACTTGACTTTGGGTCTGGAAAAGCCAACAAACCAGCAGGGGCACGAGAAGGCTGTGTGTTTAGAGAAGGCAGCACATTTTTAAAAGACCACAAGTACTGGAGAGAGCAAAGATGAGGGAGGAAATGAACATGGCTATGAGCAACCTGTGGGGAGAGGTTTCCTGAGACAGAATCCTCACCAAAAAGCAACAGAAATCCAAAGGAATATTCCATTTCTAAGCCTTACAACCTGTTACATACTTTTTTGTTTGTTTGCTTTTGTTTTTTTTTTTTTTTTTTTTTTTTTTTTTTTTTTTTTTTTTTTTTTGAGACAGGGTTTCTCTGTGTAGCTTTGGAGCCTGTTCCGGAACTCACTCTGTAGCCCAGGTTGGTCTTGAACTCACAGAGATCCGCCTGGCTCTGCCTCTCAAGGGCTGAGATTAAAGGCCTGCGCCACACTGCCTGGCCCTGTTACATACTTTAAAAGCATCGATAATAAAGTACTAACACTGAATACATTCAGTTTAGCTGCTGTATCACTTGGTATTAGTTTGTAAGTTATTAAAATTACATCTATTGTAATAAATGGTAGTGATAGTTATTTGGATGCCAACCTACTTAATAACTAGATTAAGAATTTTTCTTTCACAGACACATGTTTCCTAATTAGGGATGCTCTCTACCTGACATTTTCAAAGTGTAGCTAAAATACAGACTGCATCAGGTCATCTTACCGTCAATGTCTTGGGTATCAATTTTCAAGTAAAAGCTGCAAAATTCCTCAGAGACACTAGTTTTGTGAACCACAGTTTTGACCTATGTTGGGATATGGAAATAAGAAGATTCCATGTAAAATGGGAAAATGAAAAAGCATTACATTAGTACTCTAGCTGAGAGGAGAGTGGTTTTTGGAATCCAGCACAAATGATGCATTTTTCTTTCTTTTCTGTTATTTTTTGAGTCAGGGTTTCTCTGTGTAGCCCTGGCTGTCCTGGAACTTGATCTGTTGACCAGACTGGCCTTGCGGATGACATATGTGGATGAGTCAGTAACAAACAAGTCCAAACAAACGAGAAGAACCAGAAAACACAAAATGATGACTTTTGGCCAAGCACAGTCTTCATCCGAATCCCTTATTCAGATCTGAAGAATGGCTCCCCAGCACCTGCTCCACAGCCGGTACAGCTTAACGTCTTACCGTAGTCTTAGCCAGCCTAAGAAGAGTTCGCTTCTCCCAACCTCACACACTATCAAGACAAACAAGTCACTGTAAATGTGTTTGGATGAGTGTTTGCCAGAAATAGATACACTGACAGCAATCAGGATTGAGGGAGTAATAAACAGCCCATTTTCCTCCGTGCCATTTTATAAATAGTCCTTGAAGCAGTAAATGTGCTAAAGGTGAAAATATTATTAAAAGCATCAACAGAGTGTTAATTTCTGCTCAGAAAATGCAGACTATGTGGACACACACAAAGATGCTCTATATTGAGAGATGTTGTGAACCATACAACACACATATCATGAGCCTCCTGAGTACACATGCAACCATAAAATTTATAAATCTGTATACTATGAAACAATGGGCATATTTTCTAAGAAACAATTCATTAGGCAATTTTTCTACTGTGTAAACATCATAGGGCATATTTATACAAACTAAGATAACTATGACATCATTAGCTATTACAGTCTTATGAGATTACAATGTATGTAGCTAGTTGTTGGCAGAAATATCACGATGCAATTGCATGACTATATGCAGTATATACAAAATCTCCACAAATGAGCAGAGGGTATGCATACAAGGGCCACCAGTTACTATCCAAAATAAGCTGTGAGAAAGGTCAAGACAGCAAGAAAGAATAGATAAGTGAACCCTACTTTAGTTATGGTGATCCAAGTCATGTTTATGTGACTTTGCATGACAGTATTTTTTTTTATATTACCTAGATACAAAGCTTTCCTTGGCATCAGTCAAATACTCACATATACTGTAGCCAAGCCACTGCTATATCCTGTGGTGATGATGAGGTCATCATTAAGAGGTACCTAAGGGGTGGATAGAGAAGCCATGTTTTCACTCATCACTTGATAGAGGGCAGAGAGAGCAAAGAGAAGAGGGGAGACCTGCCAGCCTCTCTCTTGGTTCTTGTGAAATCAAACGGATGACACTGAAGAGCCGAACAGAGGAGGCATTAAAAGAGGCTTGTGCCCTCCCCACCCTCCCTTCCATGTGTAAACAGGATGTCCTTCTCCTTAGCAACTAAAGCAACACATCAGAGATCATATATATAAAATATATTCTATGTAAAACTAGATATTCATTAATTATACATGTATATACATACATGCGTGCGCACACACGCACACACACACACATATATATGTACTCATTGTAAAAACTAGATATTTATTTCATTTTTCCAAGAGAACAAATTTCTTTTGGAGTCTAGTTCAGGACTTAGCATCTCATGTGCTAGTGGGGACTCTTTCCCTCCCCTCCCCTCCCCTCCCCTCCCCTCCCCTCTCCTCCCCTCCCCTCCCCTCCCCTCCCCTCTTGTCCCCTTCCCTCCCTTCCCTTTCTTTCTTTTTGTTGTTATTTTTTGAGACAGGGTTTGTCTGTGTAGCCCTGGCTGTCCTGGAACTTGATCTGTAGACCAGGCTGGCCTTGAACTCACAGATATCCACCTGCCTCTGCCTCCTGAGTGCTGGGATTAAAAGTGTGCGCCACACTGCCCAGCTGTGGATTGTTTTCATAAGTACCAAGAAGCAGGACTCTGAAGCAGGCACAAAACATCTGTGGTCCTCTACTACACCCTCCTTCACACCTCTCTTCCACTTCTTGAGGGTTCATCGTCCCCGCTTCTCGCTGGCTTGTGCTCATTTAAACCCCAGGCCTCGAACTCACAGAGATCCGCCTGGCTCTGCCTCCCGAGTGCTGGGATTAAAGGCGTGCACCACCACCGCCCGGCTTTGGATCACTAATTATTGACATAGATCTTTGCCCGTGGCCATGTCCTTATTATTGTTATTATATTATCATTTTTCTGCTACGAGTCACTGGTTTGTGATTTTTGCTTAAGCTTTATTTCTCATATCTATCTACATATCATGGATCTGTAGGGCATGTAGACAGTGAGGACTACTCCTGTTTGCTTATATACTAATGCACTGAATTCACACATGATAATTTGAAAAATGCACATTTGCCTATGTAGACGGGCAGCAATAATATTATAGAATATACTTTGCCTAACATATCCTTTTCTTTGGGAAATTTTCATAACCTATTAAGAGTTTTCCCTTTAAAAAAAATCTAGCCTTGGGAATAGCCATGGAGCAAGGAGTTAGAGAACCAGAGATTCAAGTCCAAGCCAACTACAGTTTGTGAGAAAGACCAAGGACAAAAGGGACCTGCAACAGGTGACAAACATGTCTTTCATGTCTCTGCAATGGCACTTCTGTGTGTTCTGTTACACACGATGAATGTTCTTCCCGTGTCTTCATCTGGCTACCCCTCTCTGATTCTTTCAGGGTTAACCCACACATGTGGACATACCCTCCCCTACACACACAGCCTCTGTCAGTCTGGATCAGGAGGCCCCTCTGCACCTCATGTAGGTGTTTCTGGACTCTTATTTAAATGACTATCCCTCCCCAGGACATGAATTCTTTGTATTTTACTCTTGAATCACCAGGGCCTGATCTATAATAGGCACCCTGCTTAGTAGTCCACTTGTACTCAGCGCATGCTTAAATAGTGAATAAAAGCACACGTACAATAAGGAGGGAAGAGATGACTTCAATTCTCCCATCTGATGGCCAAGTATTTCATTTACCTCCACTGGTCTCCCAAGGAAATTCTTCTCCGTCACCTTATACTGGTAGAAATCACCTTTGTGTTTGTAGGAGACATTGATATCCATATTCAAATGCAGTTGTTTAGACAGAAGTGAATATTCTGTCAGGCCCTCAATGGCATTAATTGTATCCTATCAACAATCAGCAAAGCACAAAAGCACATTTAGTTTATTTATACACGCTCAGTTTACAAATAGACCCACTTTGGTTTTGAGAATAGGATTCCGATGTGTAGACTTGAACTTGAAATACTCTTTCTTCAGCTTCCCAAGTGCTATGTACACCCAACTCTACCAATTCCCTTCTTAGGAGGTGGTGGTGGCACTGTCTGGAGATGAAGCTCCAGCTGACTGAGTGAAGCTGTCGAGAGACCCATTGTGGAGATATAAGAACGGTCACTCTCTCCCTAGGAAGGACATTGTTTTCATTGGGGACAGGAAGAAAGTATGGCCTCAGGTCTGGGTTCTCTACATATTCTGCACATGTATCCTCAGGCAGATCACTCTGAAAAATACCTCTGCTGCAGAATTACCTCTTTCTCATCCTTTAGTCTCGGTTTAAACACCCCCACAGTGAGGCCACAAACTATCTGTTCATGATGGTTTTAATGTTCATTTCTTGCCCTTTATAGAGTTCACCACAATTTATAATACTTTTTTTTTTTGTTTTTTTTTGTTTTTTTTTTTGTTTTTCGAGACAGGGTTTCTCTGTGTAGCTTTGCGCCTTTCCTGGAACTCACTTGGTAGTCCAGGCTGGCCTCGAACTCACAGAGATCCGCCTGGCTCTGCCTCCCGAGTGCTGGGATTAAAGGCGTGCGCCACCACCGCCCGGCTATAATACTTTTATGTATAGTTATTGATCGTTGCCTTCCCCACTAGAATGTAAGATTTACGGAGCATACAGGGACCCATGTCTTTCTTGGTGTCTGCTAGAGTTGATTGTGTCCTTCAGTTCATGTGTTGGAAACTTAATGTCCAATGTGGCAATGTGGGGTGGGGGGAGGATCTAATGGGCGGTGTGCAGGTCATGGGCACCACCCTCACAAGTAGATTAATGCCATTGTCCTTATAAAAGAATGAATTTGCCCCTCCTCTCTCCTCTCCCCTTCCCTTCATCTCCCCCTCTCTTCTTTCTTCTTTCCCCTCTTTTTCCTTCTCTTTGTCCTTCATGGGATGATACAGAAAAGACGTCCTTGCCAAAGAAAGGACTCTCAATCTTGGTCTTTCCATCCTTGAGAAACATGAGTTTATATATTTCTATTAATTATAAATTATAAAATTACAATTTTCTATACATTATAAAATACTAATTATAATAAATTATTAATAGTTTTAAGTGTTATACTTTGATGTGATTGGCATGCAATAGGTTTGCTCACATCTGCACAAACAAGTAGTGTTTTATAGACAACATTATGATAGCCACAAATCTGGTAGCAGGCAATAGGAAGTTTTCAGCTCTACTATAATTTTATGAATCACCATTATATTTATTGTCTGTTATTGACCAAAACATTGTTATGCAACACATGACTGCGTTATCCAACTGTGTAACAATGGTCACAACATAAAACTCAATTGATAGGTAGCTAAACATCATGCAGGAGAGGAATCATTGGTACCTTTGCTTCCATGGCAACCACTACTTATTAAACAGGATGTGATGTAATTTCTGGTAACCTACCAGCCTTCCATGGTCTTTAAAGACAATGAGAGAAGCACCATGGGGGCATAGCGTCAGGGAACTGGGTGCTGACTGGCTCCTTGAAAAACCCTCTTCAGGCTCATTTCCTCTTCTGAACAGTGAAGTTACTAATACAGATAACCTCCAGGGTCCTAAGATTCTAGACATGGTTTGTGCCTATGGCAGCCCATTTGTTAGAAAGAGTCATAGAGGCCAGCGTGAGTGTAGAAGGTGTAGTGTGGGCAAGAGGCACAGATCAAGCTAACCACACATTACCTGGGTGGAATAAAAGCCGCCTCCATACCTCTGCTCTTCAGACAACCACTTGATGATTGGGTTGATGTAATTTGTCTCCTTCAGGTTCAGGCTGGTGAGCAAAGCATAGGCTGTGGTCTCTACCATACCTGCCGTGACGCTGTTAGGTGCAGAGCTGTGTGTCTGTTGGTGAGTGTCTTTCCAGAAACGGTAAATGGGTGGATCACCTGATGACAACACACGCCGTTCATTAGTAGAAGTAAAAATGGGAACTTGACATAATCCTAGCAGGTGTGTGATGGCCTTCTCACTTCTAGAAGTTCTCTTCATTGTCAGAACTTTGTTAAGTTTCAAACCCGCGACAAATGGTTGAGGTGTCTGTTTAACATATCAAAATGGACCTGGCTACCAGGTTCTCCCAGCATCCCTACCTGTTACAGGGTATGGCTGGCACAACCCGCCCTCTACCCTGAACTCTTCAGCCCAGGGACTGGGCTGGCCTTCACACAGAGGCTCCTCCTTACATAATCCAGACATTTTGGTACCCTCCCCTTTGTACCTTTGGCCTCCTGGCTACTGCACCTGGTTACCCTTTCTTCCTTCCCCTTCCCCTTTCCACATGGCCCAGCTCAGTCTGGTCCTCTCCGCTCTGGACTCTCCCAGATGTTCCTGCCTCTGGCCATGCTTTCCCACATACCTATAATAAACGTTCCCCTCCACCACACGTAGGAGAAGTCATGTCCTTGTCTTTCCTTTTTGTTTCTTTTTATTTTCATTTAAACTTCGTCCAGGTAGCCAAGACAAAATGAGATCCCATAATGCCCTGCCCCTTCTCTTCACTGGAGGATGGCTACGCGTGCCGGAGAGCACAGATAGGCTGGCCTTGGAGCAGGAGCCTGATAAGCTGGGACTCAGGAACTAGGTTCTAGTTTGTTCTCTCCTAACTGACTGGGAAAACCCAGGAAGTTCATCAGTTCCGTGGGACCCAGGCTCCCCATACTGGGAGTAGATAATATTCACATCTATGTAGTGAGACTCACAGAAATAAACAGGGAAGCGGTGTTTATAAGTCAGCAAACGCCATGCATAGGTGGAGAATTATCATTATTCACACTGGAAGAATAAACTTGACATAATATCTTTCTCTTTTGAGGAAAACAAAAGCCACTACCTGGAATTTTGAAGGTTAATCTAATTTTGAGGTATCTTTTTACAATTAGTTGTTACATGATTTACGTGACTGAATAAAATATTTTCTTGTATTTCTCATACTCAGATTTACCACATTTAAAATTATATTTAAAATGAAAGGTTTATTTGGGTTTTAAATCTTATTTGAACTATTCAGTTCCCCGCTAGCTTTGAAAGTGTATGATTTTATAATACATCTTACAGTACCCAAGACATTTTTGTGCTATTTCTGAAGCATCAAAGAAGTGGTTGTGAGGTATGTATTAAAACTTAGGCATTTTTAAAGGACGACAAAGGTGAAATTTTGTAGACCGTCATAAACCTCACACAAAACTTGTTAAACATTTAGAAAACTCAAATTGGGCCGGGCGGTGGTGGCGCACGCCTTTAATCCCAGCACTCGGGAGGCAGAGCCAGGCGGATCTCTGTGAGTTCGAGGCCAGCCTGGGCTACCAAGTGAGTCCCAGGAAAGGCGCAAAGCTACACAGAGAAACCCTGTCTCGAAAAACCAAAAAAAAAAAAAGAAAACTCAAATTGGGACAGGGCTCAGAACTGCCAGCCATGACACCCACTGCAACCTCCTGGTGAGGCATAAGCCAGGTCATACACTCCTGGTTCAGTGGCTTCTGGTGGCTCAAAGTGGCCATTAAAGCTGATGTGCTGGAGCCAGGCAGCCCTGCGCTAGAGGACACGGTTTGGGAAGTGGAGGCGGCATAGCCAATTTCAGCCTCAGCTCATCGGCTTGCCGGGCTGCCGTGGTTTATGTTGGGGAAGAGCGTGGGCCGTGAGGCTAGATGTGGATGCTTTTCTGGGGGTGTAGGTTAGTTACTCTTGTTCAATCCTCTTTTCTGTCTCCCCAAAGTGCCCACTTGCCTTCTCACTATGAGGGCTTCACCATAAGCCCTCGTGATGCTGGAGCTGTGCGCTTGGACTCCCAGAGCCATGAGTTCAAAGGGATCTCTTTCCTTTGCCCATCTCTGGTACTCCACTGTGACAGCAGAACACGTACCAGAACAGGTTCTTCACCATTGCATAGCTGTATACTTAATCCTGGAGACACTGGAATGACCTCTAACCTTTCCTTCCCTGCTCTCACTTCCTGCTCTCAGCTCTCTGCTCGGCACCACACTGGCCTCCGTGCTGCTACTGGAACACCAGGAATGCCCAGGCCCCAGGGCATGTGCACAGCTCTTTCTTGCTTCCTTTCCTTTCAGGTTTACACTCAAATACAGTTATGTGCCGCACATATTTCAGCCAATGGCAGACCACATATGTGACATTATTTACCCCATTGTCTCCATGGCTATGGTCCTTAGGTTTATGTAAGTACACTCTATGATGCTCATGCAATGGGAAACATTTCTCAGAATGCACTGAGTGTCATTCAACTGTATCATGTTCTTTATCTTTTTGTTTTTGTTTTTTGTTTTTTTTTGTTTTTCGAGACAGGGTTTCTCTGTGTAGCTTTTCGCCTTTTCTGGATCTCACTCTGTAGACCATGCTGGCCTCGAACTCACAGAGATCCACCTGCCTCTGCCTCCCGAGTGCTGGGATTACAGGTGTGCACCACCACTGCCCGGCTTGTACATGTTCTTGTGAGGCTTAAATCCAGATGCACAACCCAGCTCCTTGTTGTATCTCTTTTCCCTGTTTGATTTGTCTTCATTTCTGTTGCCATAACATATTTATAAAACTTTACTTATTTCTCATGCTTGCTTCTTCCCAACTAGAATTTAAGTATCATAAGGGCCTGGGTTTTTTTTAAAATATGTTATTTGTTTGTTTGTTTATTGTGTGGGTGTGGGTGGGTACGCTTGTGCCATGCATGCTTGTGGAATCGGAGGACAACTTTCAGGAGTTGACTCTTCCCTTCCACCAGGCTTAGTGATTGGACTCAGGTTTGAGGCTGGGCAGCAAGCCCCTTCTTGGCCCTGTGTGTTTGGTTTATTTTGTCTTTTTCCAAGACAGGGTCTCACCACATAGCCAAACTGGTCTGGAACTCTGGATCCCCCGCCTCAGTGTCTGAGTGCTGGGATTACAGGAATGCACTAGCACAGTCAGCCAGGTAGGATTTATTCTGTTCTGTTTGCTTTGTTATCTGTCCCTTGAGTGTACAGCAGTGCCCAGCACCCCTGAAGAATCCATAGGATCCTCAATAGCTACGTGTTGAATGAACGAATAAATATTTAGTGAGTGAGTAAGTGACTGATTCATTACCTTGTGGTGTGATGGTTACCTCCTCGTGGGTAAGGATGGTGTCTCATTCTGCTTCCGTCCCACTCACTTCCCAGTGTTCGATTGGAACCTCCAGCTCGCCCCTGCATGATCCAGAAAGCCCCATTCCCCACCCCCTCTTTTTCTCTCTCTCTTTTTACTTCTCTCTCTCTCCTTTTCTTCCTCCCTCTCTCCAAACCCCACCTTCTCAGAAAGTCTCAGTTCCTCATTCTTGGTGGCTACTGCAGCTTCCTCCCCTGAAGTGGCCAGCTGCCAAAGTCCCCACCTAAGCGCTCAGCTTTTGACCATACTTGGGTGCAAACCCAGCTTGTGGCAGACACGTCATCATCTCTCACCTACAACCATGAAGTCTCTGGGACAGGAAAACTCATCCTGGGGTTGCTTTGCTCAAATAAACGTATTGTTATACCTTTTCAATTCAGCTTGATCTGGCTTACTATGTTGGTGGAGAAACCTAATGCCCAGGATGCAGACTCTTTGGTGCTCAGTTTGTGCCTGCTGAGCAGCAGTGTGGACTGAGTCTTACCTTTAACCATAGCTTCCTTTTTCAGGGCTAAGACAATTGAACGAAATTGCGGGTGGGTTCTGTCTCCTAGGGAAAGAGCGTAGGCCACGATGGCCAGTGTGAAGGTACTCTTGGATGGCAGTGCGTTTTCGAGCAGGAAGGAGTCAGCTTTAGTTAGTGCTGTGTCGACTTTCTGGAAACAAGAGCAGAAAACAATTAACTTTCTTTGCTCAACATCAGCCTGTAAACTGATGGGAGCAGTCCTGAGATTGCTAGCGAGCCCGTACCTGTCTGTATGTCTGTCTGTCTCAGGGGTGTGAAGACCCTGGAGACCTGTATATACAATCAACAAAGCAAATCCTTTACAGAGAAAGGGTGTAGTCTATCTCAGAAGAAACCACATGGTTGTCCAAATGGGCTATGCTTTCTGCCACTGACTTCCTGTTTTCCCTGAGAAGTTTGTCCCTTGAGTTTCTGGTTCCATCACTGTCCCAACCCCTGAGGAGAAGAAACAGTGTAGACAGGATTTTCATCCTGTGTCAGCATAGCTGAGACAAAGTCATATGTTCAAAAGTGTCATACCAAAACAGACAGAACAGAACCACAATGGCAAAAGGAAGAGAGCAGCTGGAGCTCTGTGACCCTCACAGTGCCTAGGAAGAGTCCCTGTCCTGTGCTGAGATGGCCAGAGAGCCAATATGGATAACAAGCCAGGGAGAGTCTGCTAGCATCCTGCCTGGCTCTTCTCCCAAATCAGCGTGTGCCTCCTGTGGCATGAGTGTCAATCAGCACCTAGACTGCTAGGCCCGGGTTCTTGTTGACTATTTTCTCTCAAGTGTGAACACCAATGCTCATGGAAATACTTGAACAGAATAAAGCTTTTGTGGCTCATGTTCTGCAAATTCCCTTTGGAAATTGAAATTCCAGCTCAGTTCTGTAACCTGATTTACAGGGCACATCTAGCTGACTTCGGCGTTGCAGACAGGAATGCTTAACCTCAGAGCAGAGCTCTCTTTCCACAAAGGACTGTTGTCTATGTTAATCTTTCAAAGCTTCTTTTACCTCCTTGTTTTTTTTTGGCACGAACTCCCACTGAACCTGGAGCTTCCTAGTAGGCAATAGTGGCTGCCCAGCAACTCTTAGGGATCCTCCTGTCTCTGCTTTCCCAGGACTGGGATCACAGATGTGGTCATGTCAGACCTAGCTTTTTATGTCCGTACTGGGGATCTGAACTCAGATCTTCCTGCCTCATTGGCAAGCACTTTCCTGACGAGCCACCTCCCACTTTCTACAGCGGGAGGCTTCTATGTTAATTTAAATGGGTGGGTCTTCTCTTTACTCCCTCAGCTTTCAAGCAAACTAAACGATATGACCCAAAGAAGTAAAAGTGTGGTTGGATGCTGGGGGCTCTACAGTGCGGAAGGCAGGAGCGATGCACACGTAATACAAGAGGTAAGGGTGGGAAGCTAGGGGCTGGAGAGACGGCTCAGCAGGTTCAGAGAACTGGCTGCTCTCGCAGGAGACCCAAGTTTGGTTCCTAACCTCCATATCAGGTGGCTCACAGTCACCTGTAATTCCAGCTCCAGGGAACCTGGTGCCCTCTTCTGGCCTCTAAGGTGGACATACAGACAAACAGGTACACATGCATGCACAGAAGTAAACTTTAAGATTTAAAGTTTAAAATTTATCTCAGCTCTACAGTTTAGTAATCAGTAACACTGAGAAATGGGAGTCATCCTGCTTATGGTAGCTGCTTTGCCAATTCTTCATGCATCTACAGGTCAGACTAGATGGCAGAATCTATCACAGTTATGAAATCATTTGATTCTGGTCTTAAGGTTATTTCTAAGTAATGTGAAAAGCAGTAAAAGAAACATTTGAAATGAAGGGTCCTCTGATTGGTGAGGGCACCTCCCTCCCTCGCCCCAAGTGTGCAATAGACTAAGCCAGGTGAGGGAAAGAAAACTAGTTCTTACCATCAGGGGGCATATGTCCATAGCCTTTCTAATTCCAATCACAGAAAAGGCTGTAAGATACAAAGTGTTCTCTTGGGCTTCAACAGGTAAAGTACCCTAAAACAAACAGTGTTTTAAAAGAAGGGCAAATGAAATCGTCCAAGTGAATTGATCTGGTTCAAATCTCTTTTGGGGCCATCTCCACATATCCACATCACACATGCCAGCTGGATGCTTACTGTTTTCCAAGAACACTGGAGTTTTGCGAGTGCCTTTCTTAGCCTGTCTCCCCCATCTTCACCTGTCAGCCTCATCTCATGATTCTTTACCACATTCAAATTTGCCCTCTCCTTTAAGATCCTGTTAAAATGCCCCATCCGCTATGAGGCACCACTTAGCCCTCTTAGGGCAGTGTGATCTAGTGCCGGGCTTACAAGGTCACTAGTGGCGTTATTCTCTCTCTCCAGACCTATTTTTATGCCACTCACAATCCAATTTTCTTGGCTCTAGCTCTTTGAATGAATTTTAATCTTTCTCTTCTCCCCTCTCCTCCACTCTGGAATTAAAATTTCCAGGCATAATAGGTATATGAAAAGTGTTCGTTGTTGCTAGTCATCAGAGAAATTCAAACTCAAACCACAACGAGACAATATCTCACACTGTTGCCATGGCTATGACAGAATGACCAGAGGGAGATGTTGCCACGGTGTGGAGACAGAGAACTGCTGTGCACTGTTGCTGGGGAATTAGCATAGCCACTATGAAACAGTACAGAGGCCTCCCAGGAATTAAAAACAAAACTACTGATATGCCAATTCTACTCCAGGGTATACATCCAGAAGAAAGGGGATTAGGATCTCAAAGACGCATTTTCAGTCCCATGTTTACTCCAGCAATGTTTGTAATAGCAAGATTTGGGATGGACACACACACACACACATTCTAAAACAGGTTTTATATCATAAACATGGACAGTTTTGGTAAAAAAGGAGAAATAAATTGACTTTGAAGAAAGAGTCAGACATGTTTATGTGTCTCTTCTTCAGCTCCCAGGAGTCACACAGAGCTTCATCTTTCAGTTCCTCCAATCTAGACTCAGTCCCCTGCTACCAGTGAAGCTGGGCTTCCCCTTCACTACAAGTATTACACCCTTGAAAATCCTTATATCTGACTGACATGCTCATTGTCAACCTGACACCATCTACAGTCAGCTGGAAAGGAGACAAAGGATCGTCTAGATCAGGTGGGCCTGTGGGCATCTTTGTGGGTGATTATCTTGATTATGTTAATTGAGGTGAGAAGACAAGCCCCTGTGGGCGGCGTCATTCCCTGGGCCACCGTGAGCTGAGGACAGCATGCCAGCATTTACCCCCTCTTCAGTTCCTGCTTCCATGACTTCACAGCTACCGCAGGCTGGGTCTGTACCTGTGAGCTGAAAGCCTCCTCCCAGAATTTGCTTTCCTCAGGATATTTTATCACAGCAGCATGATGAAACTAGGTATATTTTCCCCTCTCTTCTTTAACCCCCATAGGAAGATGGGAATAAAATGGGAGCCTGTACATAAAACTAATGCTAATTTATACCTTTGATTGCCTTACCTGTAATTTTATTGGTAGATATTGGGAATTTTCCTTGAAAGATCCATTTTCCAGCTGACAGTTCTCAATCAGCCACAACAGAGAATTACAAATGGAGTTCTGGTTCTGCTTCACATACTTATCCACTTGTCCAAGCACTCTCAACGCAAAAGCTGTTAACCTTCAAGACAAATCACACACACACATCTCAGAACATGGAGCTTCTTCTGCTTTCTTTTACATAGTATTTATTTGCATACTTTTATTCTTTAAAAGAAATTAAAAGCGAAGACATGCAATTTTAGAGTAGGTCATCATTTTACAAAGTGACAAGGTAGGACATTTGAAAAATCTTCAAGACATTCAGTCAACAAATATGAGCAGCACACCTGTGACTGTGACACTGTTAACTAGCATGCAAAAAGCTGATTCCTGGTGACAGAAAAGAAAAGAGAAGAAAAAGATGGCACATTAAGTTAAGGTCACAGAGGTGAAGCAGACAGTTTTCAGTCAAATCACTGATCCATAAAAGTGAGATGCAGAAAAGGAAAAACTCGGGCATCTGAGCCTCATCTGAGTTCCTTTATCCATGGAAGTGGCTCTCTCCCTTCCTGTTAAGCTCTGCCATGGACTTAGAACCTGTCACTCAACAAGGAAGATGTAGGATGTCACCTGCTTAGACAGAAAGCGACATCAGTCCACCAGCGTCCAACCCAGACTAACAGTGAGGACAAGATTCATGACTTTGATAGCTGCCGAGAGCCCAGTCCTGGAGCTCTTCTGACGTCCAGAGAACCCACTCTTGGTTCTGACGTCCTGAAACTTTTGACTCTCCTTTCTCCTCACTTTAAAATTTTGTTTTAGCTTGTAGTTTTAAAATACATTTTAAACAAAAATATTTCAAGAGCAAAAAGTTTTCAAAAGTCCCAGAGCACAAAAGAATTGCTAAAAATAAATAAATAAAAAAATTAAAATAAAAAAAAATAAACTCCTTGCTGGACAGTGGTGGTGCACGCCTTTAATCCCAGCATTCAGGAGGCAGAGCCAGGCAGATCTCTGTGAGTTCGAGGACAGCCTGGGCTACAGGCTGAGTTCCAGGACAGGCACCAAAACTACACAGAGAAACCATGTCTTGAAAAACCAAAAACAAACAAACAAACAAACAAACAAATAAACAAATACACTCCTGTCTGTGTCCCCTTCCTTCTCCTAACAGGCATCTACTGCTTCCAAAATCCAGCCAACAAATGCAAACAGCTCATCTATGATGACTGTATTGTCAGCTAGCACTTAAGCTAACACATGCTTCCAAATAGTAAATGGAAGTCTCCAGGTTTCTTTTCTACCTATCAGTCCCATCATATTAAAACATCAGCATTTACATGTTCCCGTCCTGGGGCTTTCTCATATACTATCTTTTGTGGTCTTGTGTTTTACTTTGAGGCAGTCTTGCTACGGATGTCCTGTGAACTGAGGCTGGACAAGAGCTAAAAGGGGAGGTATTAAACTGGATTCTGATTCAGTGGAGGACAGGGGTTCAGTGGGGGAACACAAAAGCATGTTTGAGGAAGAGAGACAACTTTGGAATGCATTGTATTTGGAGCTCTTTGTGTCCAGACACCTAGAAATGCGGGTCTGGGGCCAGGAGAGAAGTCAGGTCTTGAGATGTTGATTAGAGACATTGATCAGGGATCTGTCTACACAGAAGTGATGGAGGTCATGGGCAAAGATAAGATTGTGCCAGAGAGATCACAAGAAATAAGAGGCCAAGGGTGAAATTCTGGAAAACATCTAAAATTCAATAATTGTAACTTGCTGGGCCTGGTGTCACAGGCCACAATCCCAGCACTCTGGAGGCAGAGGCAGGAGAATGGATGCAATCCAGGCTGGGTCTAAATAATAAGTTTCAGATCAGCCAGGGCTGCATAAAGACTTGGACAAAAACTACTAAATTATTGCGGATTGTGAGCTCAGGAGGGGCCTTATGCAGCAGGACCTAAGAAGCACTTGGCACACTGTGAAGTTTTGTTTTATCTTTCTCTCTTTGGGGACATCACCTTGTGATGAAGCCCAGCTTTGAGCATCTGCTCCTCCAATCTCTTCCTCCCAGGCACAGGGAGTTTCTTTATTGTGTTTGTTAAAATTAAGTATCTTCCAAAGGGAAAAAGACAACAAACAAACAAACAAACAAACAAACAACAATCTAGTCAAAGCAGGAGGGTGTGCTTTGAAAACAGACTGTAAATGTTTGATTCATCTAGACTGTCTTTCCTTAAATGATCAGGATTACAGAAACTACCCTTCACTGAATAAATAGTCATTGAAGATATAAGGGAACACATGGAGCTGCCACACACTGCATCCTGATGGGGACACAGGCAAGTGAAAGCGAGAATGTTAGCAATAAATGGAAGGAGCCGAGCAGGGAAGGGTTAAGTGCTGGGCGCTGTGGGTTGGGGTTTTATAGAGCGTGAGACAATGGAGACCTCATTAAGAAGGTAACTTTCAGTAAGTCCCTGAGGGAAATAAGACATCCAGTCTTGCCCAGGGAGGGGTCAGTGCAGAGACCCCAAGGTGGAAGCCATGTCTGGTCTGGTGTGTTTGGGAAGCAAGGAGGAGACCCTTGGGCTCAAGGGGAGCATTAGACAGGTGGGCGAGCGAGCGAGGGAGAAATGAGCAGTGGTTCTCACTCTAGGTGAGATGAAACGCATCTAAAGGCTGTGAGTGGTGTGGCCTCTCCAGCTTCCGTGCTGAGTGTAAACTTGGGGAATCAAAGTCTGAAGTCAGAAGAATGAAAGGGAACAAAATCCAGGCTCCGTTTGAAGGTGCAACCACACCTGTTACCTCGATCAGTCACGGGTTGAAGGTGCAACCACACCTGTTACCTAGATCAGTCCTGGGTTGAAGGTGCAACCACACCTGTTACCTAGATCAGTCATGGGTTGCAAGAGAAAGTGGGCGTGCTGAAGGGGTGTCAGTCTGAGCAAATGGAAGAGGATTTTCACTGTGGAAGTCATTCTTATTTATTAGTGTGTGCATGCATGACAAAAGGAGAGATTGTGGAAGTTAGTTCTTTCCTTACACCACGTGGGTCTCAGTGATAGAATTCAGGGAGCCTGGCTTGGCAGCAAACGCCTTTACCCACTGGGCCATTTCCACGATCTCATGACTGTTTTTCTTCTTTTTTTTTTCTTTTTCTTTTTTGATTTTATTTGAGACAGGGTTTCTCTGTGTAGCTTTGCACCTTTCCTGGAACTCACTCTGTAGCCCAGGCTGGCCTCAAACTCACAGAGATCCACCTGGCTCTGCCTCCTGAATGCTGGGATTAAAGGCATGTGCCACCACCGCCCAGCCCATGGCTGTTATTCTTAATGAATGAATCAACTACTGTATGAGAATATAAGATACATCTGTTACTCACCAGGTACTGGCACTTCCCCCCTTCCACATGCTATAGGAATAGTCACTGTTTCTGTAGGACATGATGCTCACCATCCCTAAGATGGAGCAGAAGAAAAGAACACAACACTTCACTTCTTGGGCATGCTGGGTCGGCCCCGGGGTGGTGAGCCCTTTTTGGTGTGAGCAGCAATCGTGGCCAGCCTTGAACTTACAGGAAGTGTGTGAATTACTTGACTTGGGGATCAAATAGAACATTCTGCTCCCATTCAAAGAGGAAGGGGCGATCTTCGGAGTCTGGAAGTCAGGTGTCTTGTTTCTCATCCAGGCATTTTGGTGATTTAAGCCAAAATGCCTCAGAAAGAGTATATCACATGATTTTTTTTGTGGTTGTTGTTGTTGCTAAAATTCTTTTATAATTAATTATATATATTTCATAACAATTTAAATATTACAGTAAATAAAATATTTGCTTTAAATCTGCAAGATGACATATAAACAATTTTTTACCTTCTTTTATTTTTTTCTGCAGGTTCTGTTTTTCAGTTAATGAATTGGGATAAAAAATGTTCCAGTGGTTTCCTGCTTCCAGGTAATGGAAAACGTAGAACACTGGTACAATGCTCATGAGCTCTGCCTCGGCATTGCCCTTCGGGAGGTGGGTCAGGATGTCGATGCCTTCCTTACTCAGAACTGTGGACAGGAATTCCCCTACAAGCAGTCCTGAAACAAAGAGACCCAAGTAGACAACCACTCTATCAGCTTCCAACAGTGTGTTCTGAAGAGGAAACAACCCTGTCTCTCTTCTTCCCTTTTTAATATGAACAGTTTACCTGAATCACAGAAATTGAGGGAGAAAGCTGCATTTGACTGGGAACATGGGTTTTTGGTGGTAGATGAAGCAATGCGGTGAAATACAGCTGCATAATTAGGTGCAGACATCGTAAACCATACTGACATAATCCTCACATGAAGCAAGGCTAAAGAACCTGACCAGAGAGGGCGTTGACCTCTGAACCTACAGCAACACTGTGCAAACACGGGCAAACCAACTTCTTATACATCTGACATCAGGATTCCACAGGATCAAAAAGGCCCCTTCTAGTGCTGATATTCTGTGGTTCCACCATCTGAGATGAAATGTAGCCAGGACGTTCTGTCGTGTAGGTGGTGAGTGACTGCGGTGCAGAGGCTGACACCCAGGGAAACCATCGAAGGTGCCCCTTTGTGAACACCCTGGAGTGGAGAGAGTCCCTGTCTGGCTTGAATGCATCTGTCCCTCCATCTGCTGAAACCCAATCCACAGAGGGGATGGAGTTGAAGGTGGGGCTTTTCTGGGGGGTGGGAGAGCTGCTCACTCCCCCTTCGATGTTTTCCCTTCCACCCTCAGGCATGTGAGGGTGCCACAACAAGGCAGCGGCTGGACGGCTGGACGAGCAGGGAGCAGCCCTTGCCAGGCGCTTTAGCACCTTGATCTGGGACAAACTCCAGAATGTGAGGATTAAGAACCTGTCCTTTAGAATTTACCCCAGACTCTGGTATTTCATTACAGCTGCACACATAGGCTAAGCGACCCCCAGCACCCCAGGACTGATACTTGGAAGGAGAGCTGGTGCCCCCTAAGCGACCCCCAGCACTCCAGGACTGACACTTGGAAGGAGAGTTGGTGTCTCCAGACTGTTTGTAGGTCACAAAGTCTTCAGTGGGGCAGGACTGGCTGCAGAGACCATGGGAAGTTAAGGGATGAAGCAGCTGTACCCATTCTAGAGAAGTCACTGGGATAGCCACAGGAATCCCCCATTGCAGGAGAAGAATTTCCAATTAAACCAGGCGAACAGAGTTGGAAAAGTTATCAAGTGTTTGAAGATGAGGAAGGTGGGAGACAGGGTTCTATCAAAAGCCAATTAATGTGTGTAGAAGAAAAATAAAGAATAATCACGAATATATGTGAGTTGGGTTTGAAGCACAGAGTAAAAAATAATAATAAAAATGAAATTTATGGCCAGGAGGTGGTGGTGCATCTTTAATTTCAGCACTTGGGGGGCAGAGGCAGATAGATCTCTGAGTTTGAGGTCAGCCTGGTCTACAGAGTGAGTTCCAGGACAACCAGGATTACACAGAGAAGCCCTTTCTCAAAAACAGAGAGAGGGAGAGAGAGAGAGACTTGTTTCTGAGACAGGGTTGCTCAGACTGACCTCCATCTCACTGTGCAGTTACGGATGACCCTCAATTTCTGACCTGACCTGCATCCACCTCCCCAGTGCTGGGATTACAGGCAGGCATCTCCATACCCAGGACTTCATGTGTGCTAGGCAGCTACTCTACCAACGAGCTTCATCCCTGGCCCATAAATTAGATTTATTTAATTTACCTTTTACACTCAAAATCCTTTTAACGCTGGTTTTCGGGACCAAATCTAGTGGTATCCTGTATGGGAATTCCTTTCGTCTGCTAACAATACCTGTAATAATAATAATAATAATAATAATAATAATAACAACAACAACAACAACAACTAGATTTGCCTAGAGTTCTTAAGGGAAAGAACTATTTTTAGATTATATATCTACTAATTAAGAAATTTTCAAAATAAAACACATTTATAATAACAACATTAAAGTTTCAAAAGAAGAAAAAATGGTGAAGGATTTTAATCAAAGCCTAGGCTTGCAAAATCTCCTTAAACAACACACTAAATTTGGAGTAAGATTCCGGGTCTTTGTAAGGAATGAGACAAACAGGTTCTATTGACGTTATCCTCAAATAACTGGCACATAATTTCTGGGTTGTCTGCACACCAGCCCCACTGGGAAGCATGGCCACACGTACTTCCTACTTCCCCCTCTCAGAGGGACTTAAACAGTTTCTCTATGCACACAACAACACAGTTTCAGAATGCCACTGTCAGAGAATTTTAAATTACAGCCACTCCCTATTTTATGCCATATGTAGTGACATTTTAGTGATTGACACTGAGACTCATGACTATTCCAAGTGCTAAGAGTAACTGGCTGTGGTGCTAGCCGGAGATGGGAGGGGCAGCTGTACCCACGCCAGCTCCTAGTCTCAGGGAGGAGGGGCATACAGAATGGAAGAGCCAGAAGATGGGCAAGAGCACTGTGCATGTTTTCTTCTGGCTATGACACGGATGTTGAACTCATGAACTCACAGCAGCTGTGGTTATCTGCTCAAGATCAAACCAGTTACAACTTCTAGCATGGATGAGGGAGGGCCCCTGCGGCCAGGTGTAACAGTTTCCTCCTGTAATCAAACACTCCATCCTGCCTGGAAACTCCTTAGGCAGGAAGTCCCTGAAACTGACCACATTCACTAGGTCCCTCCCTGCCCGAGTAAGCAGAACTAGGACACAGGCTCTCAGACAAGCCAAGGTGCAAAAAGACTGCAGCCACACCAGATTTCTGGAAGAAGCAGAAACCAGCTGAGCTGCCGGGTAGCTCAGTCACTTAGAAAGGACACTCTCCAACCTGTTGAGCTGCCTGCACGCTGTGCAGTGTGCTCCAGGTTCCCAGCTTTGTGAGCTGTCACCTGTGCTCGGGTGGGCATTGGTGATGCTGCTGTCTGTGAGTCATTTCTGCTCCTGTATAACCCCTCACCCACATTCCTGTAAGTGACCCCTTACCCACATTCCTCTAAGTAACCACAATAAAACTCAATGGTTCACCAAGCTGGACTTTGCTGGTATCTGTACTTTGGTCTGTTGTGGGTTCCCTACGGTGGATGAGTAGATGTGTGTGTGTGTGTGTGTGTGTGTGTGTGTGTGTGTGTGTGTGTGTGTGTGTGTGTGTGTGTTGAGTTACCCAGGGAAGGTTTTGTCACATAACAAGTCTACCCCTCCCTGAGGAGCTATTGGCAATAGATGGCTACTAAGGGAGAGTCAGCTTTTATCCCTTTTTTTGTTTTTTCAAGGCAGGGTTTCTCTGTGTAGCCCTGGCTGTCCTGGAACTCACTTGGTAGCCCAGGCTGGCCTCCAACCCAGAGATCTGCCTGCCTCTGCCTCCCGAGTGCTGGGATTAAAGGTGTGTGCCACCAACCAGCTGAGTCCGTTTTCTTTAGGGAGATAGACACTGGTAGGTTGCCCATACAATGATGACCTCATACCCATGGATATATGGGTAGCACTAATTGGACCTAGTGGGATAAAAAATAAAAGTAATTAAGTAAATTAAAACATTTTTTAAAAGGACATGAAATTGGGAGGGAGATGCGCTGAGTTAAGTTGGGTAGTAGAGACTAGCTATGACTAAGATACACTGTAGACATGTGTGACAATTTCAAAGAGTAAATAAAAATTTTATTAAAATATGCTATTGCCCCAAACATGATTCTGTTTATCACTGTACTGACAGAGAGCCAAGTTTCCACTAAGCCAGCTAAGTGCAGCGCTACATTGGGTTCGCTCTCACAGGAGTCCTGCATACAAGGTCTATTTTTATTGTTTCAGTTTTGTGCAGGGATAGCACAGGGGGTGCCAAGATCCAGGCGCAGGAAGGATTACTGCAGGGCTCACTAAAGTCACTGTAGTGGGAGTCCAGCTCTAGCACTCAGCAGAGTCCCTGGCAAGATGAAGATGCTATGCACAAATTCTGAGATCTCATGGGTGAGCTGCATGGCTTTGGCAAAGATACAAGAATGTTCCTCAAGAAACTTCTCTGTTATTTAACCCTTGATAAAACTTGAAGATGTTGCATGAGAATTAGTCAGTGAAGGCGTTTAGGAAGCTTGAAGTAAGGGTGACAGGGCATGGAGTTTGAGGGGCTTGGAATGCATGTGACACTAAGCAAGACAGCCTTTCTATGCTGCGTTTACTCCTTAGTTACAGAGGTAGTGTTTTTTTTTTTTTTTTTTTTTTTTTGGTTTTTCGAGACAGGGTTTCTCTGTGTAGCTTTGTGCCTCTCCTGGAACTCACTTGGTAGCCCAGGCTGGCCTCGAACTCACAGAGATCCGCCTGGCTCTGCCTCCCGAGTGCTGGGATTAAAGGCGTGCGCCACCACCGCCCGGCTGGTAATGATGTTTTCAAAGGGGTTTTTGAGGGGCTAAAAGTGATGCAGACAAAGAACCTGAACACATTGATAGTGTAAGTATAACAATTTAACAAGGGCTGTAGTAGTCTGTCTGTCTGGAAACAGTTGTTAGTGGAGCTGGTTCTTTCGGAAGCACACCTAGACTTAGCCAGGAGTCAGTTTGCAAATGTTTGTTTGAAAAGTTCTTGCTTTGAGAAGATTCTCGGCTGAAGGAAAAGAAGAGACACAGAGCAGTGAAGAAGGATTTTCTAAGTGACTGTCTCACTGTGGTGTTTCAAAGGGTGCTTGCAAAATAATTACAACAGGGCTAGCTGTCGGGTGTTCTCTGGACAGAGGCTTCTGTGGTAAAATACTGTGTTATTGTGAGGATGAGCAGAGTATCCAGTTAGGGGTGAGTCCTGTTGTGTTGTGGACTGTTACTTTAACTAGTCAAAGATGTGTTACATTTGTTTATGTTGCAGAATACTACTTTAACTGTGTAAGGGTGTGTTACATCTGTTTCTGCTGCCTTTGTTAGCAATGTGAAGATGTGTTATGTTTGTTTGTACTTGTAGGAAAAAGGGGCCAGCTAAAGAAACCCACCTTGACCCTGGAGCCCAGAACCAGCAAAAGAAACACAGCCTGGATCTGGGACCCCAGCCAGTGAAAGAAACACTTTATCCCTGAACCCAGAACCAAAGAAACATGCCCTGACTCTGAAACCAGTGCCAAAGAAACACACTTTGTACCTAGAATCAGAGCTAGTGAAAGAAATATGCTCTGGCCTTAGAATTAGAGCCAAAAAGCTAAGAAAGGCCAGTGAAAGAAACACAGTTTGGCTCTGAAATCAGGGCCATCTCTGCCCCGACCAATCCCTGAGCAGGAAAAAATAACCAATCCCTGGACAGAAAATCTTCTCCTTGGAGAAACTCCGCCCCTAAGAAATCCTATATAAACCACCTGCCTGTTCAGTTCTCAGCTGTTCTTTCCCACCCTGGTAGAGGCAGCCACTCTCCTGGACTCTTCCTTCCCAAATAAATCTCTTTCTCAAAAGAGTCTTGGGTGTGAAGATCTTCATTCGCTGGCACAGAGAAGAACCTTGCTAAGATGTCCGGTAGGGGACTGAGCAGAAAAAACCTTGCAGAGATGTTCCCTTAGGGGGCTGAGAAGTCAGAGCTGAACAGAAGAACCTTGCTGACACGTCCCTTAGGGGACTGAGCAAGGTGAAGCTGAAAAGGTAACAACTTTTCAATGAGCCAGAGGAGATTGCTACATTTCTGCAGGGCTTTTCCTTTAGCAGAATGAAACAACAGAAGCAACATCTTGGGCCAGAGAAGAAGCAGAGCTCTGCTGGGGAGCCCCCGTAAGTGGGGGCTGAGCAAAGCTCAGCTGTAGCTGCTCTCCCAGAGAGGAGCAGGTTTGCTATATCCTGCTACCATCCTCCACCACACCCCAACTCAAGGTATAGCCTGACTCCTGAAGAGTCAGAATACCTTTCCCTCCAGAGCTGAGCTGTCCCATTGCTGCTGGAGAGCTGCCAGAGCTGTCCTAGAAGCTCAAGGTATAGCCTGACTCCCCAAGCAGTCAGGATACCTTTCCCCTGGAGTTGCAACACTCAGTTACAGTGCTGCATTTGTTTAACTATGTAAAGATTGTTGCATTTGTTTCACCTAACTAATAAGACACTGAATGGCTAACAGGTAGGCAGGAGAGGGATAGGTGGGCTGGTGGGCAGAGAGAGAGAGAATAAATAGGAGTAAAGAGAAGAGGAGAAAAAGGAGGAGAGAATGAGGGAGAAAGAGAAGGACATGCCCGGGGCCAGAAGCCAGGCAGCTTCCAGCCAGACACGAGCAGTGAAAGCAGGACATACAGAAGGAAAGAAAGACAAAAAGCCTAGAGGTAAAACACAGATGGAGAGAGAAACAAGTTAATTTATAAGAGCTAGCGAGAAATGAGCCTAAGCTAAGGCTGAGCATTCATAACTAATAGTAAGTCTTTGTGTCATGATTTGGGAGCTGGTTGGTGGGCCAAAAAGAAAAAGCCTGATACATTTGGCATTAGAATGTGGGGCCCGCTGGTGGCAGCAGCACACACCTTTAATCCCAGTACTCAGGAGGCAGAGCCAGGCAGATCTCTGTGAGTTCGAGGCCAGCCTGGCTACAGAGTGAGTTCCAGGACAGGCACCAAAGCTACACAGAGAAACCCTGTCTTGAAAAACCAAAGGAAAAAAAGAAAGAACATGGGGCCCACATTTACACATAGGGCCTGAGATAGTTGAAGAAGAAAAAAAAAGAAAAGGAAAGGAAAGAAAGAAAGAAAGACAGAAAGGAAGAAAGAAAGAAGAAGCCGGTACACTAAGCTAAGTAAAAATGCTTGCCACAGTGCAGAGCACCAACTTCCTAGAGCTGGGGTGTTTGAATGTAGTTCCTAGACAATGTGGCTCTGGACTGGAGCCACGGGCTTAGGCTTGGCATTCATGGACCCAAGAAGGGAGTGAAGGCAGCTGCCATAGCCATGCAGAGGTCCTAACTATTGCTTAGCAGTTTAAGGTTTGGCTCATGTGGTCAGAAAAGGGCTGGAGATAACAGTAAAGACAGGTCCAGATGGAAAAAATCTCTAGCAGGTTACAGTGTGTTAAAAATGTGCATAGGCTTAAGAAAGAAAAGAAAAGGATATAGACAGTCATAGAAAAAATAATTTATAAATAATAAATTCTTTAAAGAAAAAGTAAAGTAATATAACAGAATAAGCCATATAAGATGAAAAATACACAGGGAGTCTGGATCCTGTATGGTGTTGTGTTAACTTTGAATTTTTTGAATGTTGATGAGTGAATGACAACTGCTGAAAGACATGGGATTGTAAGAGTGACTGCTGAATTAAACCAGCCTAAATACTTTAGGAATGCATTAACTTTAAAATGGAATTCAAAAAAATGTATTACTTTGGGGAAGAGGTTATGCCTTTGTTTCCACAAAAGGGTGTGGATTCGTTCAAAGTTAATAGAGATCAGATTTGATCATAGAAGACCCCTGAAAATTCTTGTTACAGACATAAAGAAATAAACCTAGAAAAACAAGACAGGTGATGTATATTTTACCTGCTCAAACATAAAATCACCAAAATAATTCATCTTTGACTGGCTTGTGTATAAATATAAAAAAAATCTTTGGCTGTCTTGTGTACAACCCACAGTCCATACTTGTGTTAATGCATATATATATATATATATAAAACCTTCAAATGTTTGTGTGTTTTCAGAGCACGGGGACCAGACATCAATGAAAATGGGTGGCCCAGGTGATCCAGCCTCTCAGAGTACCTCTGTTGCAGAACAGTTCAAGGCTGCTGGCTTCGAGGATCCAAGGCTGGATCACAGACTATTCTAGCCAGGACTTAAGATAAGCCTTGTGCTTTCCCACTGCACAGAGACTGGACAACAAATGTTATGGTTAGTTTTCCCAGGATTTGACCATTTTCTCAAATTTCTCAGGTTCCCTGAAGATGCCTTTGCCTGCACACAGCAAGAAAACAATCTAGAGAACACAAACCCCACATTCCCAAGAGGTGGGATGGATGGTTTTTGGTAATTTTGATGGGTTATGGATGTTCGGTCATTTGGTGGGTTAGAGGGGCTATAAAAATATAGGATAAAAGACAACTATTAACCTCAAGTATTTTACACTGGTATAGACTTCGGTATATTGATACAAATTTAAAGTTATTTTTGTTATACTGTATGTATGTTTCTACTATTGTTTGGGGGTATTGTGCTTATGTAGCTCATTTAAAAATGTAATGTATAATTAAATTCAGGTTAGTAGATAGTCATCTATAATAATCAAACTTGTAGTCATATTAGGCATGTTTTCAAGGTTAAACAGATATATTTAGATATGTAGATTGTCTTCAAACACCTCAAAGACCTACAGAACATGGCATTTTTAATGTTTAATATTAAAATGTTTAATCACTTAAGACTTTTCATGACAGTGAAACATGTATGCTCCTGGCAGCACCAATTTACTTCAGAGAAGATGATGGGCATCAAAGAAATTCCATACAGGGTTTGCTTTCATTGTGTCAAAGTTAGCCACTGGGCAAAGAAACTGCTCTTGCCTTGACTGCTGACATTATGCTGTGCAAACGGGACATGCGGGACACAAAGAGAAAAGACTGTTGAACTTTACCAAAACACGGTGGACAGTCCTTCAAAATTCCTGCTTTATAGAAAAGTCTGTCAGATATTCTAGACATGTAGGCTGAAGATGGATGCCCCAACATTGCAGAGGAACCTTGGGTGACTCTCCAGGCAGTCAGATGTCTCTGTTGTTTCTATAGCTTTGGAAGTGGCTTGCACTGCACTTCCTGTTATTCAAGTAATATAATATCCTTCTGGGGTCTTTGATGAAGTTGAAGACTAGCTAGTTATAGTTTTCCTTAGTTATGATAGAAGGTAAATTAGGTACAAAACTTTGGACTCACCAAAGTAGGATAAACAATGGAGTATTTTCTCTGAATTTGCCAAATATAAATGGACTGGATATTGTAGATACAATTCTTGCTTGATAATTGTTCTTGTTGTGTATAGTCTTACTATGTTAAGGTTAAAACCCTTTTTATTTAGACAAAAGGGGGAAATGTTATGGAATATTAGTTTAACTAGGCAAAGATGTGTTACATGTGTTTATGCTGTGGAATGTTACTTTAATTGTGTAAAGGTGTGTCACACTTGTTTGTGCTGCGTTGTTTAATTATGTAAAGATGTGTTGCATTTGTTTCACCTTGCCTGCCTAAGGCACCTGATTGGTCTAATAAAAAGCTGAATGGTCAGTAGCTAGGCAGGAGAGGGACAGGTGGGGCTTTCGGGCAGAGAGAATAAATAGGAGAAGAGAGAAGAGAAGAAGGAAGAGAGAACAAGGGGGAAAGAGGAGGACACGCCCGGGGCCAGAGGCCAGGCAGCCGCCAGCCAGCCAGACAGAGAAGCAGTGAAAGTAAGATAGACAGAAGAAAGGTAAAAAGCCCCGAGGCAAAGGTAGAAGAGAAACAGGTTAAGTGAGCTAGGAAGAAACGAGTCTAAGCTAAGGCCGAGCAGTCATACATATCAATAAATCTCCATGTCATGATTTGGGAGCTGGTTGGTGGCCCAAAAAGAAAAAGCCTGATACACTGTTGCAATGTGTTTGTGTTGTAATGCTCAGTGAGTGTAGTTAAGAGGTCAGCTGGGCCCCAGCCACAGGGGTCACAGCCAGAGAGGGCACTGCTGTAACAAGTGGACGTTGCTGATTCTGCACACTGAGCACTCTGAAAAGTGGCATTTTAAGTTACATTAAAATTACACTTTAGTTTCTACTTCTGAAATACAACACATAAAAATCAAAACATTTTTTCCTACCATAAATTCCTTTAGGGTCCAGCGTAACACCAGCATAATTTTCTCTTTTGACCCCTTCTGGCTAAAGTGAAAGAAGAAAACATTTCGTTAAGAGCATGATTGTATTTCTAAGACCTGAATTCCTTGGATCAAGTTTCTCCAGACCACTTTGCCAATTAAAAAAAAAAATTTTCTGAAAAGGCAAACTCAATATAAATACTTACATGCATGCAGGCAATGAAAAGATTCTGGCTGTTGAATATTGATCAGAGTGAACACTTTAATGGATGCTCTTATAGGTCGGGTAATTTGTCTAAACACTTTGTGTATGTTAACTCATTAAGTCTCTACAAACCTCTATGAGGAAGGTGCTATCACTGCTCCCAGTGACAGATAAGGAATCCGATGAAAAGATCAGTAACTTATCCCAAGTAATGCTGTTAGGAAGCTTGGAGCCAGGACTGAAAAACCAAGAAGTCTGCTCCAGCTCTAAGCGTGAAACAGAGATACTCAAGATGGCACAAAAGAAATCAGCTTTTCTTTTCAACAAGGACTCACTAAGTTGTCCATGGTGATCTCAGACTTGCCTCTGGAGTAGTTGGGATTACAGACATAAGTCACCGTGCCCGCTGAATACACGTTTGCTGAAGTTAATGGCATAGAGCAAAACAGAACCCAAAGAATGAAGGCTTTGGAAGGCCTGAGAGGTTGTTAGCTAGCATGACACTTAACAAGAACAGTGTTTCATTCTAAATTAGCAAAACAGAATTGTAGAATCTTAATGGCAGGAGAACACTCAGCAGGTGGCAGGGATTGCTTCTATGGTTTGACCTGCAAATTCATTTGTAAAGTGGGAAATCACTACCCTGTGGGGTCTTTGATGCATGTGCACTGTCTATTACTGCTTTATATTTGGTATCTAGCCTGACATCTTGCACATGGGTTTCAAGATACACTTTCTGAATTAGTGGGGTGACAGGGGTGACCCAGAAGGTGTGCATCAAATAGCAAAACTTGGGAATCTCTGGGCTTGTGGGTTTACTGGTTATTTTTCTTGGTAGATTTTTGCTATTCTTATTTTCTACAGTAAGCAGGTGTTATTCTTCTATTCAATAACTTTAAACCTAATTTCAGATTAATGTATAAATTACAAGAATAACACCAAAAATGTGGGAGAGTTTCTGTCAGATTCCTGAACTTTTACTGTGTTCTGATTACATCATCATTTCTTTCACTTGCTCTGACCCCAAACATAATTATTGACACAAATTGTTGATGGCATTTCCCCCAGAAACAAAGAAAATTTAAAAGAACCATATTTTCCTTACCACTACCCGTAATGTTTTCACTAAGATTTCTCTTCCAAATGAAGTCTCGAGTGAGAAGTTGATAGGGTGGAGTCCAATTTCCAGAGGAAGCAGGCTGAAGGTCACCAAGTGACTGGAGGAGCCCTCGATCCTCTGGCGCACACATCTGGAGGCCTGATGGCTAACAGCTGAGCCCCCTGACATACAGATTCCCTCCACAGTAGACATTTTAACACAGAACTGAAACACAGCAGGTGAAGAACTGTATCAGAACACCTCATCGTTTAAGCCACATTCGATGAAAAGGCAAAAAAAGAAAAAAAATCTCTAAGTACATCCTAAATTATGCTGGTCTGGACACAAACTCCCCTGGTTTATTAGCAATGTCAGACTAACCCCTCTGGTTTCAAGGCATGGCAGAAGGCTCATTTCAGGTTTCCTTCAGGCACACACAAGCTGCTGTGGGTCACAGCACTGTCACGGGGTGACTGAAAACTCAGTGCTAGAATGGTTGTATCTTTCTTAGAGCACTGCTCACTCTATTATGCCACAGCTACTGTCATCCTTTGTTCCTGCCACTATGGTGTTACTGTTTTGTCCTCTCCACAGTCTGTTTTGGGCAGCAGGAGCCTTGGACGGCAGGAGCCTTGGACGGCGGGAGCCTTGGACGGCGGGAGCCTTGGGTTTAGCTGTTTGGAGTCTTACCTTTACCTCAGCCTTTGACTCATAATAAACGACAGTGTGAGGAATGATAGAAAACTCTGTACCTCAGCTCATTCAATGGCTTACCTAATACACACCCATCTTCCATTCCTAATCTTATGATCTTCCCACTTGTGCCCACTTGTGTTTTATTCTACAGTAAAACACGCTCTAGAAAGACATGGATTTAAACTTGGGCTCTCCTGTTATGAGCAGTGCTATGGAAACAGATTGTGTGAGCCCTCTCATTTTCTGGTAACAGTATCCATTGATTTCTGGCTCAAAGAGTGAATATATTTTCACCATCAATTTGGTGAACCAGTAGAATCAAGAACTATGCCCAAAGAATAAAATCCATTAATTCCAGAATCAAGCAGATAAACAGGAGAAAATGCAGATATTCAGTAGCTAATTTTGTGGAATTTCCCCCAAATGTAAAGTTCCTTTTGCTCTTTGGGCACATTTTTGGGACAGTTCCAACCATGGTTGATGGGGGAGGAGCTAGAGGAGACGATGGGTCAAGGATTCTCCAGCATAGCAGATGTGGGGCAGGGGAACATTCAACACAAGTTCATTGTAAAATCCCACAACAGCTGGGTATGGTGCCACGAGGCTCTGATGCCAGCACTGGAGAGGCTGGCCCAGAAGACCCTAACTTTGAGGCTAGCCTGGGCTATGCAGACAGCCCCAGGCTAGCCTGAACTACATAGTGAGACCTGTTGTGTGATGTTTTGTTTGTGTTCTGACACTAGTTAACCATAGAGGCCAGGTGGTGGTGGCACAAGCCTTTAATCCCAGTATTTGGGAGGCTCACCCCTTTGACCCCAGCACTGGAAGATGGAGACAGGAATATGAGGTGGGTGGAGACAGGATCTTGGCCCCATTTGGTCTGAGGATTCATAGAGATAAGAAGTCTCTAGTGGCTGCTGTTCTGCTTCTCTGATCTTTCAGCTTTTACCCTAATATCTGACTCTGGGTTTTTATTTAATAAGACTAATTTGGATCATGCTTCAGAGACTCTATCTCTGAACAAAACAGCCAAACTAAACCAAACAAAAAGCCCTAATGCAAACAATAACTACAATAAGCCCTTGCAGTAAGTTGGAATTAGGAAAGAACTTTTGAACCTGATGGGGCAATATGGGTAAAGAGCTACCTGCAGCAGTAATTCTGATTTCCGTGATTGCCATGAGGCTAAGACCAAACATGAACTCCAGACAACACATTTAAGCAAATGACAGCCTGAAGGGAAAGGGTCACTTGGAAGAAGGGAATGGCACCAGGATGGAGGTCTCTCTCTCTCTCTCTCTCTCTCTCTCTCTAACTGAGGGTGAGTTCCATTAGTGTTTTGAGTTGAGTCTAAATCCCCAGTAGAGACCTTCCACCTTGCTGGCTCAGGGAACCAGAGGACAGAGCGTGAGGAAGTCACCACAGCTGAGAAGTGAAGACACTTGAGATCTGTGTATGTTCTTTACTCAAACCCTGCTGAGCCTTGACCTACACATAGTACAGATTCTAAGGATCCCAGCTAGGCCAAAAGAACTGAACAGGGACTCCAGAGTCTGGGATGATATCCATCTAATTGCCTGCTAAAACATGTAAACAAACCTAAATACTCTTCAGAGGAACAGAACAAAACCCAGAATCTTCATATAACTTCAGTTAACAAGGTCTCAGATTAGATCCAAAATTACTAGCCATCAGGGCACAGGACAATTAATTACACTTAAAAGGAAAGGGAATTAGTAAGTGTTAGCCCTGAACTATCATGATGCACTTGTTTGATATAATGGAAGTATTGGTAAGTTAAAGGTTATATACAACTGGTAATATCATAACCTTCAGATTTCAATTGTGTCACCGTGTATCACAATGACTCTGGTTGTCTGTGCTGTGACGGTGTAAACTAGGATTGGTCATATAGGATATAGGGCAATCATCTAAAACAAATAATCTGAACACAAACTCCAGTGTTTAAAGTAAAAATGATTCAATAAAATACGTTAATATAAGGATAATAAAGTTGACAATATTTTTATTTTCTCAAATTTTTTATTTATAAAAATGATTGTAATTTATTTAGAATGGAATTTATGCTGAGCCCATTGTTATTTCTAGGAACAGATAGCCGTAGTTAGTAGACTAACAGAAAGCATTTTCTTTTCTTAATACAATTCTATTTTTAAAGGTTTATTTTAGCTTTGATTATGTGTATCTGTGCGTATGTGTGTGTGTGTGTGTGTGTGTGTGTGTGTGTGTGTGTACACAGTTGAATGCAGATGCCTGCAGAGTCCAGAGAGCTGGAGTCTCAGGTGCTGTGACCCACCCCACTTGGTTTCTGGACGTGGAATCAGTCTCCTGGAGGAGTAGTCCACATTGAGTCATTTCTCCACCCCACCCCTCTTAGTAACTTTAAAAATTTGTAACATACTGTTTTATTTGTAAAAATTTGTAACATGCTTTTTTATCCATTATATACTAGTAGTATTTGTAATGATAGCTTAATACTAAATTAGTTTCTTCTTAGAATCTTAAAATGAGGAGAGCGAAAAGATTTTTGTTGTTTATAAATACATTTGCATCAAAATATAACAGAAAGACCAAGAGAAAGAAATTCAAGCAAAAGCATAAAGTCTAAGTGAGTAGAATAAAACTGAGTTAATTAAAAGAGAAAAAGAAATGATATAAGAACTTATTTGATTATTTAAAAATAGATTACTTTGCTATTTAGGTTCCACTATACACATTTAAATGATGTAACAGTCTTATTTCAACTACTGATGTAATTTTTAAATATTTAAAACTATTTAAAAAGTTATAGATTGGCATCTTTTAAAAACTTAGATGAAAAATTTTATATGCCAGTTTGAAAGTGTGCCAATGGAATGCATAGTTTCTTTAAAAATGTTAGAGAGAATGTACAAAATTTGGGTGAGGGACCACTGAAATACTCAGTCCTGAGAATAAAATTAGAAATTTGAAAACATAGTTAGATTTGTGGACAATGTTGGGTCCCCTCTAATGTCTTGTGATTGTGACGAAACCTACCAGCCCACAGTGTGGTTAGCTGTAGAGGTGCACCACACAGAATCGACAAATGGGAAGGTTCCCCATGGTCGGAGTTTTTCACCGTTTGATCCCGAGTGAGGGAGGTTCATGAGAGTTGACGTACTTTTAGACAGTGTGGTTATATATTCATGAGTAGCTTGTACAGAGAGGAGAGTAAAGACATCAGCGGTCTGGAGGATAATAGAAAAGGTTTTAGTCAATCAGTGGATTGGGGGTTCCTATGGGGTTCAGACTTGCTACGGAGTATTGGCAATAAGTAGTTAGCAAAATGGCAAGGAGGCTATGGCTGGAGGGTGAGGTGTTGAAAACAAGATTTCAGAGAGGACGACAAGATAGACAAAGAGAAGATGAGCAGGGATAGCAAAAATGAAGCACAGGATACGATGACTGAGGCACTCAGGTGATGCACATGTGAACTCCCGTTTCTCTGAAATTCACAGTACCTTAGCCACGTTCTGTGCTTTGTTCTTCAGACTGGCACCACATGACCTTGTTCTATCCCTTCCTCCCTTCTGTACCCCTCCACATACCAAAGTGACTTCTAGGACAACACTCAATGCATGTGCTTGCTTATTGGAGTTGTGTGTGTGTGTGTGTGTGTGTGTGTGTGTGTGTGTGTGTGTGTGTGTGTGTGTGTGTGTTGGGGGGTATTTTAATGACATTCTCAGACAACTAGAGAATATTTCTTTTCTCTCTTTTATTCTAACATACCATAAAGCACTACTCACCATTGTCCCTGAAGTCCTGTAATTGTACACGGTTCCTTTCAATTGGATCTGTTCCCCTCGAACAACAGAATATGGTATGTTCATTTCCAGAAAGATATCTTTGAACACTTTTGCCTTGAGTATATCAGCAACACATATACCTTCAGTCCAAAGGGAAGGCAAGGCATGCTCATATTAGGGAATTCTTATCATACTTTATTGGTACTAAAATGTGTCACATTCTCTTTCTTTAAAAATAATATTTCATTTGTTTGCCAAATATTTAATTCTGTTTAAAATACGAGAATGTGCGTTAACTAGAGTACCAAATCTTTTTAGATATTTATTGTTGAATTCATTGAATGACTACAAAGTTTTGATTGTGGAGACTAAGACTTTGTAAAAACAAAATTACTAAACAAATGAAAATAATCGCATAGTTGTTTATACAGCATCTGTGTTAAGTCACTTCCAAGGGACATCAGCCGAAGAGAGAGGACATAGATTTATTTCTAAGTCTCCTCAAGCTCCCACTTGCTGTCAAAAGTGAAGGAATGGAGGTGTTTGATCCAGAACTATAACTGGCAGCTCGTAGAAGAGCAGAAGAAATTCAATAGCTTCAAAGGTGTAGGTACATTGAAGTCTTTTGAGAAGAAAATTAAAAATTTGCCTCTTACATCCTGGACAAATGAAATTTACAATAACAAAGAATTATGTCTTGGCTAGCAATCCCTCCCAAGATGAACATGTGACTCAGGGTTTCTTACCGCTGTCTGAAATGCCAATGCCTTGGACCTCCCAGGTAGTAAGTGAGTCAGGCAGCACAACCTGCATCTGGCTTCTGGAAGTTCAAACATTGATATTTGTGATGGTTAATATCACCAACTTGACAAGATCTAAACTCATGCAGAAAACAAGCCTCTGGGTGTACCCAGGAAGGACTGTCTTGATTAGGCTAGCCTCTACCTATGCCTGTGAGCCATTTTCTTGATTGGGTTAACTGAGGAGTGAAGATCCACCCTAAAAGTGGGCAGGGCCTCCAGGCAGTGGTGGCACATGCCTTCAATCCCAGCACTCAGGCGGCAGAGGCAGGCAGATCTCTGTGAGTTCAAGGCCAGTCTGGTCTACAGAGCGAGTTCCAGGACAGCCAGGGCTACACAGAGAAACCCTGTCTTAGCAAACCAAAAACCAACCAACCAACCAACCAACCAACCAACCAACCAAACAAACAAATAAAACCAACAGAAGAAGGGCAGTGCCATTCCCTAGGCTTGGGTCCTGGATTGCACAAGGAGGAGAAGCTTGCTTCCTAACCATCGATGCCTCAAGCTCGTGCCCCACGAGCTCATTCCCCCACAGCAATGGACCGAAAACCAGAACTGTGAGCCATGATGAGCCCCTCCTTGCTTAGGTTGTGTTTGCCAGGAAGAGAAACACATACAATATTCAACTACAGCGAAACATTAGAGTTGACAGCGTCACACCAGCTATTAGGGAAAAACTAATCCAGATAGTTATGTTCAGCATCTACCCCACCCATCTCAGGTTTGCAGACATTGCGCCTGTGGAGTGAAGACGGGAGGGAGAACACCTTTGCAATATTGCCCTGTCAGAGCACATAGTACAGAGAAAAACACATTCCCCTGTTAACATGTGACACCGCTTGTAACCAATCAGTGTACTAAACCTACCGGCAATGAGTAAGCTTGTGTATTTATTGTAGCTATGGCCTACTGGTTCTTCATTAGGTATGATACCAAGTACCAAGTACACAGTGTTTGTAAGCTATGGTCCTGCTGTCCACCGGTTTACAGTCCAGTGGAAGTCAGTTATATAGATATTAGACATGAGTTCCACGTCAGTTTAACCACTGTACCAAGATGGCATTCAAAGGGTCCAGTCAGCACATTCATATTTATGTCTCTACATCAGGTCCTGGATATAACATAGAGATCTGGAATCACGTTTTGCTTTGGAGGTATTGACTTTTTAAAGACGGAGATGGGTAAGGAGACAGGCTACTGAAATATCACGTGATCCCTGCAACAGGGGTAATTGGGACTAGTAATCGATCCAGTCATGTTCTGGTGTGGGGTATTTTACCAGAAGTACTGAACGAGGAGCAATGTAGGGTGGAACACTGGACAACCGTGCACAAGAAGGCTGTGCAGGGGAAGGAGGAGCAGATGCGCAGTGCCCCGGGGGCTAGGCACCAGTGCAAAGCCAGCGGCAGCGGCCTGGCAGCAATGAGGTGGGGCTCAGGGTTTTCATCATTGTCTCCAATCCCTGCTACAGGGAGACTTCTCGTTAAAATTAAAACTCTAATAAAGAGTTTAACAAAATACAACTCCATTTTTGTTTCATCAGTTTGTTTTATACACAGGTACTTTTATGTTGAAAATAGTTGCCCAGTACGGCATATAGCACATGGGCAGTAAATGCATATTAAAGATAAACTAAATAGAGTAGCACCTCTCTTTACTGATAGTTGATGTTGCCCTGGACTCAATTCTCAGACAAAAGTACCCTAAACAAAATGAGAAAACAAAACAAAATTTAACCTAATAGTGGCATTTTCTTAATTAAAAGGAAAATAATAGTGTCCAGATTTGGGGCAGTAATATTTAATTTTCCACATCTTCTTCCATGTATCTTCCAAGATACCTTTTGGGAACATGATGAACTTCCCACAGCCAGCTCTCTGGAAAGTAGCTTCGAATATCTGCTTTCATTACTGGTAACAGGGTCTTTATGTCTAGGGGAAAATATATTTAGTTATAGAAACCAATATAAATTCTGCTTACAGGTGAAGTTTTAACTAAAACCGTCCATCTATGACTTAGTTGTTTTCTAAAAGTCAGTAAGGCACTGTCTTTAATGATTTCAAACGACTTTAAAACTGTAGAATGCAGAACAGTGAAGAAACAGCTGAGGATTGGTCTTTCTGAGATTGCACAAAACATCAGCAAACCTAGAGAGTTATTTGCAATTTGGTGATTTTGGCAATTAGGTTTATATCAGAAAACATGGAAGCTTTCTGCGATCTCTGACTTAATTGGTAATTTGTATTTCCCTTAATAAAATGAATGGAATGTCTGCTTCCACCCAAGATGCATTAATAGGAGACTGTGGATTTACCACCAAGACTCAGAAACTTAGAAAACCAGATACAATATCAGAAACAACAGTTCCCAGCCATCTGCATAAGCAGCACGGGCCTGGGGTCCCTGAGAGGAGCTAGCTCTGTTCTCTCCAGTTCCCTACCTGGAGGCCATTCATAAGTCAGGGCAGGCAGAGGAGCCCTGCAGCCTGGTGGCCTTGAAGACTGGTGGCTGCACAGCTGGGACTTTGGGGGCTGTGGGGTTGTAGAAAGTGGGTACCATGCAACTGAAGCCAACGGGAAGATACCAGCTGAAAAACTGGGCAGCGAAAAAACGTGTGCACTAGATGGTTAGTCAGAACAGTGCTTGAATGAGTGAATAATACCATGGTTATGGTAAAATCATCCCAAATGGCATGGATTGTTTTATTGCAATGTCACTTATGTCTGTAGGATGTATCAATGGAGACAGACAACACTCAAGATACACAGCTAAGCAAAAGCTGACTAGAAAGGGGAGATGCCACTTTGCTTTTGTTTCTTTCTTTTCCTAAAGATGACACATAAATGAAGATCTTAAAAGTTCTGAAAACATAGAAAGTTTTACAAATTCTAAAATACATGATTGGTTGAAACTGAAATAAGGCTTCCAAAACAGCGTTTTATTCAGTTTAGAAGTCTTTTGCTATATTTGGTGAGTGTAAACACAAACTTCATTTTCAATGGTCATAATATACCAGAACCATAGAATCTTAGTATTCAAGGGTATATTGGGGTTATCCAATCTAAGGCTCCTGCTTAAGGTGCACGGGGTAAATCATCACTCAAGCTTTGGGAATGAGTGGGCTTTAAATTTATACCAGATCAGGACCCAGGCTTTGTTGGGGAATATTGTTTTAAGCTGTGTTACTTTTGTTTATGCTACATTTGTTTAACTGTGAAGCTGTGTTGCTGTGCCTGTCTGAAACACCTGATGGTCTAATAAAGAACTGAATGGCCAATAGCAAGGCAGGAGAAAGGATGGGTGGGGCTGGCAGAGAGGATAAAGAGGAGAAATCTGGGAGAAGAGAGATCTAGGAGTGAGGGAAGGAGGAGGACTGCAGGGGTCAGCCACCCAGCCACCCAGCCACCCAGCCACCCAGCCACCCAGCCACCCAGCCACCCAGCCACCCAGCCACCCAGTCAGACATGGAATAAGAAGGAAAGAAAAGGTATACAGAAACAGAGAAAGGTAAAAGCCCAGAGGCAAAAGGTAGATGGGATAATTTAAAGTTAAGAAACGCTGGCTAGAAACAAGCCAAGCTAAGGAGGACTGCAGGGGTCAGCCACCCAGCCACCCAGCCACCCAGCCACCCAGCCACCCAGCCAGACATGGAGTAAGAAGGAAAGAAAAGGTATATAGAAACAGAGAAAGGTAAAAGCCCAGAGGCAAAAGGTAGATGGGATAATTTAAAGTTAAGAAAAGCTGGCTAGAAACAAGCCAAGCTAAAGGCCAGGCATTTATAATTAAGAATAAGCCTCCATGTGTGATTTATTTGGGAGCTGGTTGGCGGGCCCCCAAAAAGAAAAAACAAACAACAAGGCTTGACTGGGAACATACCACTCTAAATCCTCAGGAATAATAGAAGTGTTTTGAGTCATCCTTCCTACTTTCGATTTTTCCAAAGCAGCTAAGCTGTCTTCATTAGCAGCATTAATTTACACAAAACCCCCCATATCAGATAGGATTCTGGCAGAAAAACTCATACTTACGCATCCTCCCCAACGGCATAGGTTTATGGAAGCCTTCTTGTCGGATCTTGTTTGCGATGGTACAACACTCGTTGAAGGCCCTGACACAGTTTGGGCCTACAGTGACCCGGGCAACTCGCTGTGCACAGGTTTCACGGTCGTTACGCCGGGCTCCATCAAGACAACATTTCCTTGGCACTCGGTGCTTGTATTTAGCAGCTGAAATGGTGACCCAAACCCTTATCATGCACAATCATAACATCTCAGATTTAGAACTCCCAGGGGATATGTGTTTCTTAACATCACATAACCCCTCACTAAAGCAGTCACAGCTGGCTGACTGACCAGCCTCTCCTTGGAACTTCTCCAAAAGCAGGGAGACTGTGACCTCAGCAGGTGGTCTGTTCCGACTCTGCTGTATGGTTGACGGGCTTCTGGCAACTAAGCTGAATACTGACTTTTGAAAGACTTCAAACACCTTTTGAGTAAAACAAATGAAATATCCAAGAGACTTTGACATATTTAAAGATGGCTATTGTTATTATACAGTAACCATATATCCTACTTTTTCTAACACTTTCTAACATAGTTTGTAGACCTTCACTAAGGGTATTATCTTTTCTTGTAAGTACTCTCATAGAAAAAGCATCAAAATTGATGAACTTGTCTAGATGACCCTTCCTAGTCCACGTTCTTTACATATTTACATGTAAATAATTTATTAAAACTAATAAGTAAAATTTTATTACCAAAAGATGGTTAATTATCATAATAACCTTTTAAATAATTTTCAGTTTTTTAAAAATATATATTTAACAGTTAATGGCACTTAGAGCAGTGTTTCTCGACCTGTGAGTTGTGACCCCTTCACAGTTACCACCTAAGACTATTGGAGAACACAGATATTTTCATTACAGCTCATAACAGTAGCAAAGCTACAGTTAGGAAGTAGCAATGAAAGTAATTTTATGGCTGGGGTCAGCACAACATGAGGACCTGTGTTAAAGGGTCGCAGCATTAGGAAGGGTGAGAACCACTGACTTAGATAATTTCTCTGTGACTTAGACAGGGTTTCTCTGTGTAGCCCTGGCTGTCCTGGAACTCACTCTGTAGACCAGGCTGGCCTCAAACTCAGAGATCTTCCTGTCTCTGCCTCCCGAGTGCTGGGACTAAAGGTGTGCACCACCACACCTGGCTTAAATAATTTTCATTAGCTATACTTTATAAAGATAATCATTTAAGTCAGTGGTTCTCACCCTTCCTAATGCTGCGACCCTTTAACACAGGTCCTCATGCTGTGCTGACCCCAGCCATAAATTACTTTCATTGCTACTTCCTAACTGTAGCTTTGCTACTGTTATGAGCTGTAATGAAAATATTTGTGTTCTCCAATAGTCTTAGGTGGTAACTGTGAAGGGGTCACAACTCACAGGTCGAGAAACACTGCTCTAAGTGCCATTAACTGTTAAATATATGTTTAAAAAATAGGGTTCTTGTTAGTCATGGACTATGCCAGAATAAAATCAAAGAACATGATTTTAATTATTAGATGAAGTTTGTAGAGAGGAAACACTGTGACAAATAGAAGTCAACTTTTTTAGTTTTTAGAGATAGAAATGCCTTCTTTTTACTCCAAGTACTGGGTATTGAACCCAGGGCCTGTGGATGCTGGGTGAACTCTATACTGAGCTGTGTCTCCAGCTGTCATGATACAAGCAATAAAGACAGACAGTCTCTGAGATTATAGCCAATGAAATACCAGCTTTGTTTGGATTAAACCTTCTGAAGGGTGATCTAGCCCTCCACACACCTCTTTTTTCACTCATTCTTTTGGAACTGGGGGAGGTTCTACAAGGTTTCCCTTTCAATATGATCATAATGTTTCAGGAGCACAAGACACTTAAGAGTACCTTGTTCTTGTATTGTCTGCTGTAGGAGCTCCAGGTCTCTTTTAGGCCTGAGAATTTCTTCACATGATTCATCTGTTTAGAAAAAGACAGAGACATAGAAAATGGGAGAAAGAACATAAAATCAAAAAAAGTTTCATGGAAGTATCTGAAACACCCCCAGTGATTTATTTAACAAGTCTGCACCACGAGCCTGATTCAGGTTAGGCTTCCTTGAATGGTATTGCACTTGGCCCTCTTCATACACGTGTGATTGTGTAGTTTGGTGTTCTTGTGGGACTCCTAACAGTGGGAGTAGGGGTGTCTCTGACTCCTTTGCCTGCTCTTGGGGCCCTTTTCCTCCTACTGACTGCCTTGCCCAACCTTGATATGAGGGTTTGTGGCTAATCTTGTTGCATCTTGCTATGCTGTGTTTGGGTGATACCACAGGGAGGCCTGCTCTTTTCTGAAGGAAAATGGAGTAACAGTGGATCTGGAGGAGAGGCGAGGTGGAAGGGAGAATTGTGAGGCGCAGAGAGAGGGGATGCTATAGTCAGGATGTATTTTATGAGAAAAGAATAAATAAAAAAAACTAGATTCAGCTCTGTGTGTTATACCTTTGAATATGACGTGATTCATCAAAGATCTAGTATCATGTAATCTGGTTTGTTTTATGATCTTGGTTTTGAATATGACTGCTTTTGGGATCCATTGATTACATTTAGCAGAAGCTAGATTTTTGTTGAATTACCTTTTTCTTTTCTAATTTTTTTTTTTTTTTTTTTTTTGGTTTTTCGAGACAGGGTTTCTCTGTGTAGCTTTGCGCCTTTCCTGGATCTCACGCTGTAGACCAGGCTGGCCTCGAACTCACAGAGATCCGCCTGCCTCTGCCTCCCGAGTGCTGGGATTAAAGGCGTGCGCCACCACCGCCCGGCTTCTTTTCTAATTTTGTTAAATGTTTATTTACTTGTGTGTGTGTGTGTGTGTGTGTGTGTGTGTGCTCACATGCAAGTGTGCATGTGGAGGTCAGAGGACAACTTGCAGCAGCTGGTTCTCTCCTTCCACAGTGTGGGTTCCAAAGACTGAAGTCAGGTCATTAGGATTTGCAAACACTGGTACCCCCTGTGCCACCTTGCTGGCCCCTATTTCTTTTTTTTGTTTTTTGAGCTATATTATTTTAAATATGAGGATGAATATCATGGTACCAACTAGAATTGTGAACATTTTAAAACCACAGAAAGGTCATTGCCATATGATGTCTGCTGTCAAAAAGCTCATGGCACCAGAGGTGAGACAAGACATATAGGTATAAGGGCATGCAATTGTGTGGTTTAATAGTTACAACGTAACAGGACCATAGAATTTTAGAAGTCAATGGTAAATTGGATTGTCTAACCTGAGGGTCTTCACACCTGGAGTATAAACAGATGTAGTTTCTATAAAATTCTCTGCAGTAATGGAGGAAGACATGGCTAATTCTGTACAGAGAAGGGACCCTGCAGAGGAAGTGATTTATTTGCTTTTGATACAAGGCTGGCATCAAACTTAGTACTCCTGCCTCAGCCTCCTGAGTGGCTGGGGTTTGCAGATAGCATCATGGCACCCGGAGTTAATTCTTATTTGAGCTAAAACAGGTTTATAAGGAGAAGACAATCTCCAAGGAAGAGCAGGGTGAGAAAGAGTTGGAAAGGCCAGTGAGGAAATCGTGGAAGGCTTTGAGTACTACACTAAAGAAGTTGTATTTTACCTTGAAAGCCAACAAAACACCTTGCTGGTAGCCAGTAGCCATGTCAGAGGAACAGCAGGTAGCAATTGAAGTTCAGGTGTCAACCCACCAGAAGAAAAACTCTCTGATGGATATGTCTCGCTTAAGAAAGGCTTGGGAGAATACAGACTCCAGAATTTATTGTGCTTCTGTTGTGTCCCTGCATGCTTGCTGCTACTATGTATATGGTGTGGGGAGTCCCCCACTGCCTGCATTGTAGTGTGTCTATCTCATGAATACATCTCGATCTACTGGGTATTTATATCTGTGGATTGTCAAGAAGATAGGTACTCCTTAAAGCTGTATTGTCTAATTGACACAGAGTTTTGATGAATAAAAATATTACTGGGATATGTTTCATAACTAAGGCGTATTATTCCATGAGGCCTGTGAGACACTTAGGACCTGCTTTAGATCACAGCTCAGCTTTATGATTTAGGAAAACATTTGTGTCCAGGAGCCAGGCTGGCTCAAATTCCTTCAGTCTTTATGCTGAGTTATGAAGTCACAGGTTTTTGTACATCATTCGGAGAAACAAAGCTTCAAAAGAACTTTAGATTAGACCAAATGCCTTGCTAACAGGTTTTTAGATAAATGTTTCCAATTTTTAAGGACGCGTATCTGTACTGCCTGGCTAGGTTGTAAATACAAAGACAGCCCAATTATTTCTAGCTGGCAAGTGATTAATTCCTTGCACCCATTCCTGACTTCAGTTTGTGAAAATATATTCTGACTAGCTAAGGCTAAGGGAGATAATTTGACTCTGTAGCCCCATGAGGGCGGCATGTGTTCTTGGATAATGAGAATTCTTATATTACCTGAAAAAAATTGGTTGGGATATATAAGCTGTAAAAAGACATGAGGGAGCCAGAGCAACAAGAGAGAACATCTTGATGAGAACAAGATGAGAGAATAAAGAAATGAACCATCAAGAGAGACTTCATGAGGGGGTTTCCCTAACCCCCTCAGATAAAAAGTCTTGGTTTGTGCTGCGCTGTGGACTCTCCCTTTGAGCCCTGTCTGCAGCCTGGAAGCTGGTTCTTAATGGGCTGTGATAACACCTTAATTTTTTTTTTTGTGTGTGTGTGTATGTACAATGTGAGCGTGTACATGTGCATGCTGGTGTGTGTGAAGCTGCATGTGGAGGTCAAAGGTCAATGTCAGCTGTTTTCTTCCATTACTCTCCACCTTTATATATGTATGTATATGTATGTATGTATGTATGTATGTATGTATGTATGTATGTATATATGCATTTGATACCTCTGTATGTTTTGCCTGCATGTATGTATGTGTACTGTGTGCATGCCTGGTGCCTGTAGAGACCAGGAAAGGACATCAGGTTGTAAAGTACCGGTAAGCCACAAGCCACGTGGCAAGGTATAGATTAATGGAAATGGCCCAAATATACCAAGCTGACTTTGGAGATGTGTAAAGGTTAAAACCTTCCTTTTTAAGAAAAGAAAAGGGGAAGTGCTGTGGGATGGTCTGTATGTCAAATGTGTTGCTGATTGGTCAATAAATAAATCACTGATTGGCCCGTGGCCAGGCAGGAAGTATAGGCGGGACAAGGAGGAGAACAAAGCTGGGAAGTGGAAGGCTGAGTCAGAGAGACACTGCCAGCTGCCATCAGGATAAGGAAGATGTAAAGTACCCGTAAGCCACAAGCCACGTGGCAAGGTATAGATTAATGGAAATGGATTAATTTAAGCTGTAAGAACAGTTATCAAGAAGCCTGCCACGGCCATACAGTTTGTAACCAATATAAGTCTCTGTGTTTACTTGGTCGGGTCTGAGAGGCTGTGGGACTGGCAGGTGAGAGAGATTTGTCCTGACTGTGGGTCAGGCAGGAAAACTCAAGCTACATCAGGTTCCCTGGAGCTGGAGTAACAGATGATTGTGAGCTGCCATGTGGGTGCTGGGAATTGAACCCAGGTCCTCTGAAAAAGTAGCCAGTGCTCTTAACCATTGAACCATCTCTCCAGCTTCCACCTTACTTGTTGAGAAAGGGTCTCACAGAACTTGGACTTCTCTGGTTGGCTAGACAGGCTGGCTGGTGTGCTCTAGGGGTCTGCTCATCTGCTCCTTCCCAGATACAAGCCCACGATGAACGGCTTAAAGAGACTTGCAGACTTGCGGCAGTCTTAGGTAAAAGTGAGGGCTGGAGGTACATCTCAGTACTAAAAATGCTGAGTGTTTTACCATGGTGTTGGGAGTCATCTGCGTTTGCGTTGGTGAGGAACGTGAGTCCGGCTAGATTGAATACATCTGCATTGTTCCGGCCGCCTCCTGCACCACAGCCCAGATCACTCTTATCAAAAGCTTGAAACACCTGTCCAGAAAGGCAAAACACTGAGCTTATTCCTCCAAAGGAGTGAAGGAATTAGTCATCATGCAATGTCAACAAATCTGTGAAACACATGGGGCACCCCTAATGACCAAGGACCACATTTCTCAACTCATTCCTTCAGGTGTATTTATAAAAACCTTCCTATTTAAAATCAACCAAGAGTGAAGACTTAATCAACTAGCATTGATGAGGAGAATCTTAGGAATTGTCCCAGAGCATATACTATATAGAATGAATATATATGGAGTATATATATACATATATACATAGTATATATACATATATACATGTGTACTCACATAAATCAAAGTGGAAAATATGAGGGAATGAACTAACAGACAGCATTGATTCTAGATTTAGGGAAAAACTCTGGATTCTAAGTGGGAAAACACTAGGTGGTTTATTCTGACTTTAATTTTGACTCAAGAAATGTCCTTTCTTCTCTAAATGTTTTTGACTTCATAGTTTCTTGGTTCTTTCTGCCTCCCCAAAGAAACGGAAGCCTAGATAATATCTGAATGTGGTGAACTAGATGGGAACTTGTGGAACCTGGGCATTTCCAAATTCGCCTGCAGTGCGGATTTATGTGAGAATTCAAACAAGCACGCAAACAACTCAGCGATTTCCTGCTTTCTTCCCAGAGTTCTGTTGTGCTTCTGTGATGACCTCCCTGATCCACTGACCCACACCTTCAAACTCTCAAGTGATGAGTCCAACTGCTCTCATAGTCCCTGCTGCTCCCTTAGTCCCTGCTGCTCCCTTAGTCCCTGCTGCTCCCTTAGTCCTGGCTGCTCCCTTAGTCCCGGCTGCTCCCATAGTCCTGGCTGCTCTCATAGTCCCTGCTGCTCCCATAGTCCCGGCTGCTCCCTTAGTCCCGGCTGCTCCCTTAGTCCCTGCTGCTCCCTTAGTCCCTGCTGCTCCCATAGTCCCTGCTGCTCCCTTAGTCCCGGCTGCTCCCTTAGTCCCTGCTGCTCCCTTAGTCCCTGCTGCTCCCTTAGTCCCTGCTGCTCCCTTAGTCCTGGCTGCTCCCATAGTCCCGGCTGCTCCCATAGTCCCGGCTGCTCCCTTAGTCCCGGCTGCTCCCTTAGTCCCTGCTGCTCCCTTAGTCCCTGCTGCTCCCTTAGTCCTGGCTGCTCCCATAGTCCCGGCTGCTCCCTTAGTCCTGGCTGCTCCCTTAGTCCCTGCTGCTCCCTTAGTCCTGGCTGCTCCCTTAGTCCCTGCTGCTCCCTTAGTCCCGGCTGCTCCCATAGTCCCGGCTGCTCCCTTAGTCCCTGCTGCTCCCTTAGTCCCTGCTGCTCCCATAGTCCCGGCTACTCCCTTAGTCCCGGCTGCTCCCTTAGTCCCTGCTGCTCCCTTAGTCCCTGCTGCTCCCATAGTCCCGGCTGCTCCCTTAGTCCTGGCTGCTCCCTTAGTCCCTGCTGCTCCCTTAGTCCCGGTTGCTCCCTTAGTCCCTGCTGCTCCCTTAGTCCCGGCTGCTCCCATAGTCCTGGCTGCTCCCTTAGTCCCGGCTGCTCCCTTAGTCCTGGCTGCTCCCTTAGTCCCCGGCTGCTCCCTTAGTTCTGGCTGCTCCCTTAGTCCCGGCTGCTCCCATAGTCCTGGCTGCTCCCTTAGTCCCCGGCTGCTCCCTTAGTCCTGGCTGCTCCCATAGTCCTGGCTGCTCCCTTAGTCCCCGGCTGCTCCCTTAGTCCCGGCTGCTCCCTTAGTTCTGGCTGCTCCCATAGTCCTGGCTGCTCCCTTAGTTCCAAGCTGCTCCCTTAGTCCCGGCTGCTCCCTTAGTTCTGGCTGCTCCCTTAGTCCCCGGCTGCTCCCTTAGTCCCGGCTGCTCCCTTAGTTCTGGCTGCTCCCATAGTCCTGGCTGTTCCCTTAGTCCCCGGCTGCTCCCTTAGTCCTGGCTGCTCCCTTAGTTCTGGCTGTTCCCTTAGTCCCTGCTGCTCCCTTAGTCCTGGCTGCTCCCTTAGTCCCGGCTGCTCCCTTAGTCCTGGCTGCTCCCTTAGTCCTGGCTGCTCCCATAGTCCTGGCTGCTCCCTTAGTCCCTGCTGCTCCCTTAGTCCTGGCTGCTCCCTTAGTCCCGGCTGCTCCCTTAGTCCCTGCTGCTCCCTTAGTCCCGGCTGCTCCCATAGTCCTGGCTGCTCCCTTAGTCCCTGCTGCTCCCTTAGTCCTGGCTGCTCCCTTAGTCCCGGCTGCTCCCTTAGTCCTGGCTGCTCCCTTAGTCCCTGCTGCTCCCTTAGTCCTGGCTGCTCCCATAGTCCTGGCTGCTCCCTTAGTCCCTGCTGCTCCCTTAGTCCTGGCTGCTCCCTTAGTCCAGGCTGCTCCCTTAGTCCAGGCTGCTCCCTTAGTCCCGGCTGCTCCCTTAGTCCTGGCTGCTCCCTTAGTCCCGGCTGCTCCCTTAGTCCTGGCTATTCCTTTAGTCCCAGTTGTTCCCTTAGTTCTGGCTGCTCCCTTAGTCCAGGCTGCTCATGTAGTCTCAGCTGCATGCGACTCTTGCATCTATATTTGTAGGAGCCAAAAGGATAGCTGACCTGTGCTTTAGGGGCAAATATGAGGATGGCTTTATAAGAACTCTGTTGAGTGTAGAAAAGCAGCCCGGGGCTCCTTTAACTCCTCCCCACAACCTGCCCCAGGTGGCCACACTCTGTACCACACCAAACCACCCCACCCCACGGTCACCCCGCAAGTGGACTTAACTCTTTGCATGGGCCTTTTGGCTCTTTGCTGGACTCCATACACAGCACTGTCCACTGCTGCTAGTGCGACCCATGAGTCTGCTTTGGTCACCATATCCAGGGACACAGTTTGGCCTGGAGAATAGATGTCTGCATCTGGAGACAGATGAACCTAAAAAATAAGATCATTTGTATCCAATAAAACCAATCAAAGGCAACTGCTTTGGCCCACCTCCTTTGCCCACAAGAGGATCATGCTGCAGCGTGGAGGCTGCGGCGTGGAGGCTGCGGCGTGGAGGCCGCGGCGTGGAGGTCGCGGCGTGGAGGCCGCGACGTGGAGGCCGCGTGTCTCACCTGGAGCTGATTACCACACTTCTCTTCAATGTTTATCCAGACCGAGTCAGCCACCAGTTCTGCCGTCTGCTCTCCTGTGACAATGTAATAGACCAGGAGTCGGGCTGAAGGGACCATGTTCTGTGTTACTGGGATGTTTATGTTTTGATAAGATGAATGGAGAAGCTTCTCTTTTGTGCCATACTGTACAATTTTGCCCTTGGATAAAATCTGAAATTACACGGCAACAGCAACAATTAAAACAACAACAACAACCAGAAATGGAATCTGTGCTCCAGGATGCAGTTTGGAGCTGGAGCAAAAATTACATTGAAAAAGAGGAAAATTAGCCCATGTGTTCCTACTGTGTGCGGGGTGTTTCGCATTGACTAAACTTCTTTAATTCTCAAACACAGCGGCCAAACAGGGATATTCATCTCCACGGAAGATGCTGAGGCTCGAGTGCTGAAGCACAAGGCTGAGGACCAGAGTTCAAACCCAGAGGTCACGCAAATGTGGGTGCAGCTGCCAGGGATCCTAGCACTCAGGTCTAAACAGGATCCCTTGGTGCGAGCTGGGTAGTAAGATAAGCTGGTCAATAAGTTCTGGGTTCAGGGAGAGACTCTGCCTCAATAAACAGAGAGGAGAGTGATGGAGGAGGGTACTTGTGTCAGCTGCAGGCTTCCACATGTATAAACACATACACATGCATCTGCACACATGCTCTCGTGCACATGTGAACACACACACACACAAAGAAAGGACACGGAGGCTCAGGAGCCAGCTGTGAGTGCCATACTGATTTTAGTTCAGAACCACGTAACAGGAAATTAGAGAGCACTATCTGAAACGAGGCCTGCTTGAAATCTTAAGTTTACTAAAACCTCCTTTTCTTGTTGACGTAAAAAAACAAAACCCAACAGTTGAGTAAGTAGAGTGCATTGTTGGAAAAATCACCACCTGTTTGCCCTGGGGCACTGGACGAAGTTGTCCATCTCCTCAGCAACTGGTAGGCATGTTTTGACCCTTCTTTCTGAGGCTGTACCAGCTTAGCTAACACATCTAGAAACAGGAGAATGTGACTCAATTCTTACCAGCAGGACCTGAGTTCCCTGTCATGTCAGAGAAACACACATACTTGAATTAGGTATAGATAAGTAATCGTTGGCTGTGAAATGGAATGAGGCGGCGTAATGAGATCGTCTGTCTTGGATGGAATCACTGGATAGGAAAACCAGGACTCCTCAGCTCAAATCACAATCTTCCCTCTCAACTTCGTGGGTGTTTTGTCTGGTCACCTCTCTGTCTCTCTTTGAAATCATGAGATTCATGCCATGCCTCTGTGTTTTGAAAAGCTGTAGATGACGTGTTTGATCATGCTTGGGAATACAAATGTGAAAGTCATTACCATACTTGTCTGTCAAAAGGACAATGTTCTGGGTTGGGGATTGGGTGGGGATCTCTCATCATTGTACTTACCAAGTAATTATAGTGAGTTATTTTGTCAATATATGGACTCTTGGGGGTAACAATAATATTCAGAAATTCTCCCACAAGCATGGGCTTGTAGTTTTCTGTCCAAGCAATATAAATGTAACTTTGGCTGAGAGATGAGTATGCGATTGCTTGATACTCTTTGCTGGCTTGATACTCTTCTGGAAGTTCCGGGGCATCAGTTTTGACCTGGAAAGGAAAATTTCGAAAGCCCACATGGACTGTGTGTAACAGTTTCTGTAAAATATATTTTTTAAATCTTTTGATTTTTCAGATTCTTAAATTTCCCTGTGCCGGTTGCTGAAGAGAAGAACCATGTAGATTACTCCAGTGTTTGTACAGTTGTGGTATCAAGTAACTTTAGGAAGTCTATGGAAAATACTGAGGGGAAGATGGGCTGTGTGGAGGAGCCAGGTGAAGCCAAGAAAAGGACGTTCCAAGGCAGGAATGGGCGCACTTCCTGAAATAGCCTAATGAACGGGAGACTTCTAGGGGAGGAGATGATCTGGAGGATGACAGAGAGGCGGCTGTAACTCGCCTGGACTGGAGTACAGGAGTTACGAATGCATATCACAGTGGCTGTCTGACCCAGTTTCAGTGGGAAGCCGAAACACGGGAGTGCTCATAAACTCAGGGGGCGGCGATACCCGCTTTCAGGCACGGGGAGGGTTCCTAGCTCATGCGCTGGAGTTATCCTAATAAAGCTCCATAGATGCCAGTGAACGTAAGCTTCGGCCAGTGACCCCGGTTATCAGCCCACTCGGGTTTTATTTGGGAACTTAAACACATTTTCTGGGAGAGAAGACAGTGAAATGAGCTCTAATTTGAGTAGTTAATGTCCAGGGGAAAGAGGGTCACATCTGACCCCCGAGTGACCCTGAAAAGATGAAATACACGTGTGTTGGAAGCGTTTTTTCTGATCATTGGTCTCCACTGTTGTGCCTACTCTGACTCTTCTGAATTCTGATGTAATCTTTTTGGTATAAAAGGAAATAGTTAATTTCCAAACCCCCCCCCCCAAAAAAAAATCGACAGCCTCCCCCTTCCACCTCCCAGGACCATTCACACTACATTAGCAAATTGTTTCGGGTACTCCTTTCATTTTGGGTGAAAAACTATGGAATTATTCTCTGGACTCATGGATAAAATCAGCCACACTGGTCTGAACACCAGCCAAACCACACAGTCAGAAGCACACACTATGCTGGGAAATACAGCAAGAACATTTAGCTCACGGAAAACTTGAGTGCGGTCACTTCAGATGGCAGATTCACCACAAACGAAGCTACTCCATCAGTGGTACGAGTGATGCTTCTCTTGGGTTCCAGGTCTGATGTTTCTTGATTCACATCGACTGTCTGTGCCGTCAGAATTACTGGGATCTCTCCTACCAACTGCTCAAGTGAATCCTTAACCTGGACCTGTGTGCAAAACAATCCCATCGTGTCTCAAATCAGAACAGCTCTGACATGCTTTCGTTCCTCTCCGCCTCCTTCAGCCCCACCTACCTTGATGGAAAATGGAATCCCAGGCTTCAAGAAAAGAGGAGTGGCAACCAAATTCAGCATGTAGGGAAAGAGGACATATTTGATGCCAGGGACTTCTGCCTCTTCTGAAAATCCACCTACAAAGGCAGCAGGCGCTGTGTTAGAGTTTCCGGAAAGCTGATGGTGGTCTGTAGGATGCCTGACTGGTCTGTGTGCCACAGACTTATTCATCCCCTCAACCCATTCCTGCCTTCATTCACTGGCCAACTGTAACTGGGGTGTGCTTCCTGAATGTGGACAAGAAGCAGGGGCTTCTGAAGCCTATGTAGCAGCTCCCTGTAAGATGTCCCCATGGAAGTCAGGCTGCAGCTGACTGGGGGATTTGAAGGACAATAGTGCCTTTCAGCAGTGGCTGGAGGTTCAGTTGAATGTGTTCAAAGGATCAGGGAGACAGCCGGAACCCAGAGGTTGAGCCTCAACAGGTGGAGGGAGTGGAGAAGAACCAGACACCTGGATACCGAGAAAGGCCTGCTTGAAGAGCACATTAGGACTACCCTGCAGCTTAAAATGAAATAATATTAAGGATAATACAAACCCTCTAGTTTCCTCAGCCTGCTTTCTAGCATTCCATCCCTATCTCTCCCTTGCTGCCAGATCAGACAGTGCGGTCCTCGAGGAGCAGGCTTTACTCCCTGCCCTTCTTTCTCTGGAGTCTTTATGGAGGGAACCCTGCTCTACCCCATCTACCACCAACTCCCACCTTTTCTTCAAGACCAGTTATCTTTATGACTCTGTTGCTGGTTACAGTCCAATCATCCAGAAGCCTGCCTCCTTATGAAAGGACCAAGCAGATGCCATAACAGGCTGCTCAGTCTTCTCTCAGAGATCAGGCCTCCATTTCAGTTTCCTGAGACTTGAGCAAGCAGTCTCTGGGAGGGCTATGAACAAAAGACATAGTCCTTGTAGTAGCTCCCTTTCTGCCGTACTCTGCCTGCTCAAGGTTCAGGCAGTTGTTTACTGTCTAGGACCCCTCACCAACTTAGAGCTACGTGCATGAGTCAAGGACAGAGCCTGGCCACTGAGTCAGCCCCCACAGTCAGTACGTGTTAGGTCGGCCAGCCTCCACGGCAGCTCAAGGACAAAGCCTGGGACTTGTCCAGACCTGCCCAAAAATGGATAACTGTAACCCCTGACTAACCCTAGCCAATTAAATGTTACTAACATGATTGCCACTTGCATAAACCAATCCTGAGTCTATTCCTATGAAGTCTGTAGACCCCAGCACCCCGCCCCTTACTTTAAAACCCTGCCCCAATGCTACTCGGGGTCTCTCCTGCTCTGCTGCTGTGTCGGATGGATGGAGAGTCCTGAGTTAACTCGCAATAAAAAGAGTCTTTGCTTTTGCACTGGATTTGGTCTCTTGGTGGTCTTTGGGGCTCTTTGCTTAGAGCACATGTGGGATTCTTGTGCAGGTCCCTGGTTAACTGCCTTTTTGCACATCTGATACTAATTTGTAAGCCACGTGAGTGTGACATTGACACTTAACTCCTATGTGTGATCCTGTACATTTACAAACACATTTTGAATATCTCATAACTATTGCTTAAATTGAGTTTATTTGAAGCAAATTGAGGAACAAATGTGAGAAAGACACATTACTATCATGTTGAAAGCAAAAGTCAGGTTACAGAGTGTGATGTCACCAGCATCCTTAGCAGCTCCTGGGCCTCCAGCAATGCATGGTAGTCAATAACCTAATTATTTCAATTCTCTATTCTGCTACCAGAGAAGGACAAATTTCAGTGGGTGAAGGGTGCCTTAGAATCACTGAAGATTATTATTTTAAAGAAAAAGGTTGGATTTAGTGTGGTTAAATTACTTATTCAGAGTCAGTTGGGGCTTTGATGTGAACCTGAAATATAAAACCACAGTAGTTATAAACACATACTAGAAGACAGTTTGACTCTGCTTTGAGTAGTAATTAATAGCTATTAAAAGCCATGAGAGCCAAGGTGTAAGGACACATGCTAGTAATCCCAGCAATTAGGAGACTGAGACAGTAGGATTGCTGTAGGTTTGAGGGTAGCCTGTGCTACGTAGTGAGAGCCTGTCCCTGAACAACAACCATTGGAGGGGATTTGAGAGCCGCAGGCCATAAGTAAATTAAACATGCTAAAGACATGGAAGGATGATGCTGTGAAGAAGCTGGGAGAGGAGGAGTGGGAGAAACTAGCGCTCCAGGGCCTTTAGGTGTGTGACCGGCGCTCTTTAGGTGCTCTGGGGGAAATGGCTATTTGAGCCTCAGCATAACCATGTGAGATCAATACTGTGGTTACACAGGCAACGCAGGGAAGGAGGCCAGGATGACGAGGATGACGACGGTGATTTGCACTTACTTCATACCTTAGTAAACAGTTTTACACGCATAACTCATTTTTATTTTGGCTCTAGGAAGGTGAGACAGCGTGCCAGATGCACAAGTAAAACAGCTGTAGAACTACTGGCGCATGTTAATCTGCTTTTGTGCTTCTGATGACGGGGAGTCGGGGGCTGCGGAAGAGCAGAGCACTACCCATTTTCAATGGCATAAAAAGGAAAGGTCAAATTTAACTATGAAAGAAAATAAAATACAGAGGAACTGTAGAGATCACTTACACCACTGATATGATGTCTAAATCTATACCAAAAGAATGTTGTACACACACACACACACACACACACACACACACACACACACACACACTTACCGGAAGTTTCTGTGACCGTTACAGCAACATAAAGGTACTTGTCATTTAGCTCTTCTAGACTTTCGTATGACAGTTCTTTAGCTGCTGTCTCAGAATCAAATGTGACGTGAGCAACTCCATTGACCAGCTTTTCAAAAGGAGCAAAGGAAGAGTCGAAATAGTGAGCACAGAAGGAAAACTTCCAAGTCTGCTTTTGCTAGCCTCTAAGTTGAGGGCAAATTACAGAAGCCACATATTATTGTCACAAGTAAAGTGAGTGACTGAGCCCACAGTGACAGCCAGAATGCTGTTTTCTAATGAGTTTGTGCAGAATTATAGATGTGGAAGGGTTTTGGTCACACGGTCTTTTGGGTACCAGTTGATAATATAGAATACAATATGTAAAGAAATGTGAGATTTGTTTTTATCGTATTATTTAATCACTAATTATATTATTGAATTATGAAAAAATATTATTTTTCTTATGTTTTGTTTTTGATTTCATTCTTATTTGAAAATGGTTTGACCTGGAAGCAGGCATTTTTGTTTGATTTAGCTTGATTGATTGATGCTGGGGATTGAACCTTATGCATGATAAGCATGAGCCTTATCATTGAGCTACATCCCTTGTCTTTATTTCCTTCAAATCTCAGTGCCTAAAGTGGAATCTTGATTTTAAAGATTCTTAATTTACATATTGAATAAATAAGGCCGTCTTTTCAAAAACAGAAGCTAAATGCTTGATCATGCAAAATGCAAAATAAATGAGTGTGCAAATGTATACAAAAGAGACAAGACCTCATGTCGTCTAAGTGTGTGTAGAGAACATTAAATAAGAGAAAAGGGAATAGGGCTCAGTTCCTGTAACAGTCAGCCCTTAAACCTGGACAGATTTCACCGATATCTACACATTGTGTGGGTGCCATATTGAAAGATGGTAGCACAGTGCCTGCACATTGTGTGGGTCCTGTGTACTGAAGAGGCATCCCTGCCTCCAGCTGCTCAATGCCAGAAAGCAGCCTCAGTTTTGAACAATCAAAAATGATTCTGGGCATTGTTAAACGTCCCATTGGGTTAAATGCCCCCCACCCCTGCCCCCCTCAGTTGAAAGCCACACTGAAGAAAGCATAAAATACGCTTTAATGAGACCTGAGGCCTGGGGGTGAGGAACCTGCCTGACTCCATTTTGAAGGCAGGAACCATTCTGCGGTATTTTTAAAAATAAGTTTCTACTTACTGTGCGAGTTGAGCTGCTCTCTCTTTCCTGGAACCTGACCTTTCCCAACCCGAGCTTGGTTTGTTCTGTAGAATACCCTGACCCTCCCTGACCCTTCCTAACCACTCCCTAATCACAGGGCAGGTGACCACACTATGTTTTTATTTTTAAGGTTTTTTTTTGTATTTCCTTATTGTCCCATTGTCTCCCTTCTATAAAACTATTCATGATTTTACTTCTTTAAAGGGGCCCGAGAGATGGATTCCGGGTTGTTCTCTTTAACAAGACTTAGAGGCAGTCACTGGCCAGCTCCTGGGTGCACACCAATAAAAATCAAGCTTGCTTCAAATTTGGCTCAAATTGTGGTAGTGGTCTTATTCTCGCTGTTGGGATTAACAGGAACACATAGAATGGCCGGCTAACTGTGTTCGGGTGGCCAGGGGCTTGGACCAAAGAAAAGGCTCCAGTGTTGAAAAATAATGAGAAGGAATCAGCTCAGTGAACACAGGAAGGCCTGGAGGGAAGGAGCGAAGTCGGAGGCAAAAGGAACTAGCAAAATTGAGGAGGGACGAGATGGCATGGTATTAGTTGACGGGGAGGCTGGTGCCAAAGAAAGGGCCATGCGTTTATTTCCTTTGTTCCCATTTTGCACACATGTGTGTTATATTGTGTTTGCTGTATGAACATGTGTATACACTTTTTTTGTATATGTGTGAATGTACAGGCGAGGGTGGGTGCATGTGTACGTGAAGGTTGACTCAAGTATCATGCTGGATTGCTCTTCCACTTCACTTGTTGAGGTGGGGTCTCTCAGTCCCGCCCAGGGATTGCTGGTACGGCCCATGTCCATAGCCAGCTTGCACTGGGGTTTGGAAGGGGGATTTATCTGACCTCACTGCCCATACCCGTACAGAATGTGGGATCGGGCGGGAGGACTCGCAGTGACTCCTCCCTCAGCAGTCTTGAGGTCTTAGCAAATGACTTACCGTGGTGACTTGCATTGCTCTCCGCATCATCTCCTTCTGGTCCTCTTTGATGTCTTCTCTCAACCCAAAGAAGACGTACACTTCAGCTTCAGGGACCACTTTATTATAAAAATATCTGTCAAGTGAGACCAGAAAGTTGTTTCCCTAACATCGTATAACAGATGACTCGGATAAAAATATCTAACAATTTAAAATTATAGAAGGCACATGGTATACTTCCACCCACTATTGTAGTTCACCTTTAGAAGGCCACAGCAAGAAAAATGTGGCTTTTTATCCTAGTATTCTGAGTTTAAGGTCAGCCTGATCAACACATTGACCTCTGGGCCACCAGGGGAGGAAAAAGTAGTTTAAGGCTTCATGACTTAAAAAGGCAGTATCCACTGTGGCAAGGAAGGAGGGTGGAATTCATAGAGACAGGAGCATGTGGCTGTCCAGAAAGCAGAAGTGGGATTTGTCTTTCCAGTTTGTCCAGAGCATTGAGAAAGGTTGGGGGTAAGTATGATTAAAAATATTGTAGACATGGTATGCACATGTATGATTTTCAAAGAATTAATTGAAATATCATCTTAGAGACGAGATAATAAGTGAAGCCTTATTAGTCTGCATGCCCTAAATTGGGCTGTATGGTGGTTTGAATGGAATTGTCCCCATGATCTCATAGAGAGTGGCTCTATTAGGAGGTGTAGCTTTGTTGGAGTGGGTATGGCCTTGTTGGAGAAAGTGTGCCACTATGGGGATGGGCTTTGAGGTTTCCTATGCTATGGATACTGCCCAGTGTCTCAGTTGACTTCCTGTTGCCTGCAAGATGTAGGACTCTCAGCTCCAGCACCATGTTGATCTGTATGCCATCATGTTCCCCGCCCAGATGATAACAGACTGAACCTCTGAAACTGTAAGCGAGCCACCCCAATGAAATGCTTTCCTTTCTAAGAGTTGCTGTGGTCATGGTGTCTCTTCACAGCAACAGAAACCCTAGCTGAGACAGGCAACTGATGAATGCACACACTGAGCTTCAATCTTGAGGCCATTTTTTCTGCCTTTTAAGATGAGGTCAGGATGGATAAATAGAGCAGTCAGTGTGATGTCTCAGTCCATCCCCAAAGTTATGGAACACAGTAAGTCACAGGTCTCTTTAGCACAACTCTGAAAGCAAGAACCAGAACTTAATGTAGCTAACCTGAGAAAGGCATGTTCTTACCTGGCTTTTACAGTGATTTCAAACCTCTTAAAGTTCTTATAGCCAATGAAGTTACCTTCTGGCTCTATTGAAACAGAGAAACGTGGCAAGACTGGAAACAGAAATGAAGAGATGGTGTTACCATTTGACCTCTGAAGCACGGCAGGCAGCCAGACTTTCTAGCTGGACAACAGGTAGCACTAATAAAGCATCCCCATCATCATCATCACCACCACCATCATCATCATCATCATCACCACCATCATCATCATCATCATCATCACCACCATCATCATCATCATCATCACCATCATCATCATCATCATCATTATCCCCATCATCAACAACAACAAACAACAACAACAACAATGATTTTTCTGATAAGCTCTCCCTCTCTCCAAATCAGAGTGAATCCAGGCTTGATGTACCAAATCACTTGGTTTATATTTTGATTATAGTGTGTATTATGGACAATTTCCTCTGGTGGAGTGGAAGATTCTTAAAAACAGAAGGACTTTCTTTGTTTCTGTCTCTCTGCTTCTCTGTCTCTGGGTCTGTGTCTCTTTTTCTTCCTCTTATCTTTCTTGTAAGTCTTAAACATAGTGTTTATTTAATGAGTGTTTATTAAATTGAAAATAGGAAAGGAGCCGGGCGGTGGTGGTGCACGCCTTTAATCCCAGCACTCGGGAGGCAGAGCCAGGCGGATCTCTGCGAGTTCGAGGCCAGCCTGGACTACCAAGTGAGTTCCAGGAGAGGCGCAAAGCTACACAGAGAAACCCTGTCTGGAAAAACCAAAAAAAAAAAAAAAAAAAAAAAAAGAAAATAGGAAAGGAAAGTGAGGGTTTATTTAGCATCTCTCTTTCATTAGTAGATAAAATACATCCAGTATTTAATGTTCTAAGCTCTGGTGCTAGCATGTCTGTGGAGGGTTGTTTGATTGCTAATTGATCACATAGCACATAGCAACTTGGGTAAACTACTACAAGAAATGGAGAAATAGTCACATTATTATCCAATGATATGGCTGATCTCAAAATATGAGTATGTTCAATTTCTAAATGTATCTTATCAGACTCTACTCACTTTATCTAATATTAACTAATTATTTGTTTATCCTAAGACTATAATTCTAGAAAAGACTTTAACAAGCCAAGCACCTTGAGGGATCACATTGCTCCCAACTCTGTCATGAAGGAGGACTGGTTGGCTTCATAAGGTTGATAGCACAATCAAGAACTCAGTGCTAGTCGTTCAAAGCACCATTACTGTCTCTCTGCCCTCACCCCTGCCGTCATTACTATCTCTCTGCCCTCATCCCTGCCATCATTACTATCTCTCTGCCCTCACCCCTGCCATCATTATGGTCTCTCTGCCTGCACCCCTGCTGGTATTCCAAAGGCACTGCAATAACCCTCTTAGTTTTGATAATAATATTAAAGTTTACCATATTCTTTAATTTCAAAGTATGCGGTTCCAGTCGTTGAAAAGTCCTTCTTATATTTAGCTTTAATTGTCCATACACCATATCTGTGGAAGCAAAATATTTAAAAGCATAAATGTCATTAAATAGTTCTAATTTTGCCATAGGGAATTTAATTAATTCCTATTTATAGATGTTAGAATACATATAGACATATGTAGCCTAAGTAAATATTTTGTGGGAGATTTTAAAGCAATAAACAGCAATAATTGAGTATTTTTCTTTTGATAATAGAAATTATTTATTAATTAGGTTCCCACATATTGTATTATTTTTCCATGTATTTTATCTTAATAAGTCATTGTGTTTGATTTAAAGGGCTGATAATAACTTCAGAATTTACTTAATCCTTGAGTTTAATGATGCTAATATGACATTACAATCTATAATATATTAGAAAATCCATAATGATGTCTCTAGAAGCATGTGATGCACAGTCCAAAGTTATATGGATGACGAAGTTTATGCCTCACATAAATAATCATTGGAAATGAAGTATGGCTTATCTAAAAAGGAAAATGACTTACTTGGCTAATAACCTCCATCCTAAAATATTTACTGAGTACTAGATTAAGCAACAAAGAATAAAAAATGGAAAACACGAATCACAGTCTTCACATTATTCCATGTATGTCTAAATCCTAATGTTTCTCTATACTAGCATGTTGGATGAGACCAAGTCACTTAGCCTCATTTGTGAAACAAAAATATACTGTCGATGTCCGTATTGTGTATATTACCATGAGCAGCAGCATCAGTTCAAAGGATAGCTATCAGATACCTCTCCTAATGACTGCTGAGACACAACAAGCAGTCCAGGCAAGGGCTTGCCCTAAGGGAGTTCCCAATCAACTGGAAACTACAAGGCGAGAGTGTGGCAGGTAGGGAGGTCCTGCCTGTCATCCCAGCACTGGCAGGGGACTGAGACAGGAGGATTACCAGGGCTTGGGGTGGAGAATGAATTCCAGGCCAACCTGAGGAACAGTGAGATCCTGCCTCAAAAACAAGCAAACAGCAAAACTCAAGAAACAAGAAAATAAATAAAGACGTGGAGATAAGGATCACAAAGAAAATAAGAGGGGGAGTTGTGTTAGAGCACACCCAGGGACAGTGTCTTAGCAAAGGCTAACTTTTGCCCTGACGATGAGGTGAAGCGCAGCATGGGAGACAAGGTGAAGCATGCTCAAAGCAGAGGAGACGCGTGCAAAGGTTTGGAGGTGGCGAGATAGGAGTCAGCAGTCGCCTAGGGATGCGTAACCTGCCTGGGGCAAATGGCACACATTTGAGAAATGATAGCAGTGACAGCTCAATCCTGTCCTATAGAGCACAGGATATTTTCAAGAGACTACACAACTTAAAAATTATCCAATGTATTGAAACTCCCCAGTTTCAATATCAAAACCTTAGAATAATGCATCTACTCTAAACTCCTTTTCAGAGAGCATGGGGGAAAGGACCGTAGAACGGTTGGCTGGTGTTCAGTGGTTCCTGTTTGGAGATGCTCTTGTCTTATATGTGCTACACTGCTCTCCCTTGGAAGCAAGGATGGAGTCTCCATCTCTGTAATGCATGTGGTGATGGACTGTGGACCCCAATAAATCTGCCTGAAGATCAGAGAACAGAACAAGCCACTAGATTCAACAGAGAGGCCAGGCAGTGGTGGCACACACCTTTAATCCTAGCACTCGGGAGGCAGAGATCCATCTGGATCTCTGTGAGTTCAAAGCCACCCTGGATTACATGAGATTGATTCAGTCTAGGAGAGTAACAGAGCCAGGCAGTGGTGGCCACACCTTTAATCCCAGTACTTGGGAGTCACATGCCTTTAATCCCAGCACTTGAGATCTCATGCCTTTGCTACCAGTATCTGGGAAGCACACATGCCTCTAATCCCAACACTAGAAAGGAAGTAATATGGCTGGGCAGAGATAGGTATATATGGCATGAGGAGACAGGAACTAAAGCCCTTTTGGGCTGAAAGCCCTTTTTGGCTAGACCCATTTTGGCTGGGGGTTCAGAAACATTCAGTCAGAGGATTCATGGAGTTGGCGAGGTGAGAAGTAGCTGTGGCTTGTTCCTTTGTCTCTCTGATCTTTCAGCGTTTACCCCATATCTGGCTCCAGGTTTTCATTAAAGACCATTTAGGATTTGCGTTATATTGCACTGCTCACTTCCAATGTGATTCAAATATACAGATACGTGGTAGCTAAATGTGTATCACATTGAAAGTGTGTGTGTGTGTGTGTGTGTGTGTGAGAGAGAGAGAGAGAGAGAGAGAGAGAGAGAGAGAGAGAGAGAGAGAGAGAGATCTGTTTCCCAAGCCGACAGTGAATCCCTGGGATCCTCCGCCTCAGTCTCCTGGGTATCTGGGATGGCGGTGGGCTATGCTGGATTCCAGCAGTGAGAATGTTTTTCTTTCCGTAGCAGGAAGCAGCCTCACCAGACTGAAGACTCTCCAAGTTCACATCTGTGGCGCTCTGCCAACACTAGGTGGCTCTGTTTGATTGTGTATCTCCTTCCCCAGAAGTTCCAGATGTGCTTTTTAGAGAAAATTTGTTTAATAACAAATATTTTTTACTTACTTAGGATTAGATGGAATCTTGAAGTCAGGAAAAGAGATAATTCCGGTATAATCATTTTCTTCTATAATGTCAACTTCTGATCCTTCGGGGTCCTTTGAATAGAAACAGACATCCGTACCTTAGTTCACTTTCTGTGGTTATAAAAGAGTATCTGTGACAGGCAATTTACAAGAGATGGAGATTTATTTAGGCTTGTGGCTTTGGAGGCTGTTAAGTCCAAGAGCATGGCAATGGCATTGGGTAGGTAGGGATGTCTGTCCTTCAGCTCAGGTTAGAAAGTGGACTAGTGAGCAGATTCTGCAAGAGCCTTTCAGTTCCAGCCACTGTTCCAGGCACTCAGTCCCATGGGAACGCCTGGAATTCATTCACAAGGGTAAGGTCCTCCTGCCCCCACCCCTACTCCTCAACATTGCCACACTGAGAATTAAGCTTTACCACATGTACTTTAGGAAGACACAGTGAAACCCTAGCAGCTTTCAAAGCACAGACACCACATTTAAAGTTACTGACTGCAATATAATCTTTGATCTGCAAAAAACATTTCCCAAACAGGCATCAGCCTTCATGAGGACGAAATTCTATCAAAGATTATGAAAGGTAGCCATGGTTCACGGGTCCCTCCCACTGTTTAGATCCTCCCCATCTCTCTTCACTGTCTACACTGTACATTAAGAGAAACGCAAGCCCAGACAGGTCCACACCTGTCACTCCAGTGGGAGGGAAAGGAAGATTGTGAACTCAAGGCCAGCCTGGGCTACACAGTGAGACTCCGCCTCAAAAAAGGCTTTAATAACATACTGGATGAAAGCAAAACTCCTCATTTGGTGTTTTAAAAAAACTTTTCTTCTGTTAAACTGAAGAACCAGCCTGCCTCTATCTTAGGTTTAAAAGCCATCTTATGTAAAGACAAACTAGGTTCATTCCTGTTTATGATTAAATCTCTGTTTCTCAAGGATTGGGCTATACCCCACCTATAACCTTAACAACAAATGGTTCTGAACTGCCTATTCCAGGAATGACAATCATTTCTGTTTCAAAAAGTTGTTTATAGCCATCTTGCAACCCTACCTTTGTTGCCAAAGGTTCTATGGTCACCTATGACTCCCTTGCTATGCCCACAATATAACCATGTCTTTGTTCCAGGAGGTCGTTAGGACTAATTTGTTGTGCTTATGTTCTGCTCCTATAACCCTGACTATTTTGCCCCCCAAATCCCCCATTTAGAAACCTCCTACCAGCGAGCTATAAAAGCCTTGTCTTCCTCATATCCAGGTAGCCTGGGTACATGAATACAAAAGCTTGTTTTAATTAATTGCTTTCTTTGATTAATATGGCCATGGTGATTTGGGTTGGTGGTCTTTTTCCTCTGATCTTTGGGATTAACAAACCATCACACACACACACACACACACACACACACACACACACACACACACACACACGCATACACACGCATACACACGCATACACGCACGCATGCACGCACGCGCACACGCACACACACTTTAGCCCTGATACAACCCTTAGAATAGTTACACATATTGAAAGTTCTCATAAATCTTCTCCATAAATGGCATTGTTTTTGGGTCAGCGACTTTGGAGCTATTCATGGAGTTCCTGGTGAGTCTTAACTTAAAAACTCAACAAGTTGGAAAACTTACAAAGGCCTGTTTGAATAAGAATGATCCTCACAGATTTACAGGTAAGTATCTTCCTGGCTGTTCTTCATCCCATCATCATTCATGATGAACCTTTCTCAAATTCTTTGCTCAGGGTGCTTCCTACATCCTTCTTCCTTGTGGCTCTGGGCTCGGCTCCCCACACCCAGGAAGCTCTTTCACCGATGACTGGCATCCGTTTCTTTTGCATGTGGTTCCAGGATTCAGCTTCACCCAAGTTCAGTTACAGCCAAGAAGGACAAAGAATCCATGTCCCTTCACCCCTTACTCTCCAGTAGAAATAAGAACATTGGAGCTGACATCTCTCCCAGGCTTTGTCAGTCAGCCAATTATTTACTATGCTTGTTTGTGTCTACACTAGTCTCATTGTGCTGGCTAGTTTTATGTCAACTTGATACAAGCTAGAGTCATCAGAGAGGAGGGAGCCAAAACTGAGAAAACACCTCCATAAGATCTGGCTGTAGGCAAGCCCATAGGGCGTTTTCTTAATTAATGATGGATGTGCAAGGGCCCAGCCCATTATGGGTGGTGCCATCCCTGGACAGGTGGTTCTGGGTTCTATAAGAAAGCAGGCTGAGCAAGCCATGATGAGCAAGCCAGTAGGCAGCACCCCTTCATGACCTCTGCATCAGCTCCTGCCTCCAGGTTCCTGCTCTGTTGAGTTCCTGTCCTGACTTTCTTCAGTGATGGACCATGATGTGGAAGTGTAAGCCAAACAAACTCTTTCCTCCTCAAGTTGCTTTGGTCATGATGTTTCATCACAGCAATAGAAACCCTAACTAAGACATTAATTTTTTCCTGCTTCCATAGATTAACTCATGCTAATTCCTACAGGGACAGCTTTCATTATTTCAAAGAACCCACGACAGTTCCTTTCATTATGACCTAACTCAAGGTTTTCCTTACCTTTTCCATTCCAGAGAAGGAATGTATCACCCCTCAGGCTCACTCATACTGTGTTTTCCTCCAGAATCCTTGAGTCATTAATGCACATTTTGGCATATACTCTAGTAAGTTTTGTTCTCTAATACACACTCCTTTAATGTGCATTCTAAATTTGTTTGAGAATGGGAAAAGGTGCCTATACGTCGTTTGTAAGACAACCCCTGTTAATAAGTGAGCAGCTGACCAATTGCAGTAATCATTTCCCCACAGAAATGTCTCTGGGAATTGATTATAAATCTATGATAGGGAAAACCATGGAATTGGTTTCACATCATCTGCTGTATATGATCTGTCAGTTTAGTGGCTGGTAAATGCTGAGCATATTAGTATATTAGTCACTAAAATCTAAGTTCCTTAAAAATAAGTAAAACCAAACAAATAAAGGTTTTACATATCACAGACAGTCAAGTGATTCTTTCTTAGATTTATTTTATTATTTTTTGTGTATAAATGTTTCGCCTGCATGTCTGTCTGTGTACCACATGTGTGTCTGGTGTCTGAGGGAGTGGTGAGCCTCTATGTGGGTGCTGGGAATTGAACCTGGGTCCTTGGCAAGAACAACAAGTGCTCTTAACTAATGAGCTAGCTCTCCAGCCCTGTCAATTACTTCTTGATGGGCATGCTCTTAAAAAGTAAGTAGTACAGAGGATGGATTTCGATGGTTTAGATCACTATCCTTCCCAGTGTTAAGTTAGCTTGTCTGGGCTTTCTATGTGTCTGCCATACAGATGTAAATCTATAATGCACATTCACGCTAAGCATTTAATAACTGTTTTTATGACATCAAATGATTTAGTGTAGTGTGAGGATGGGATTGTGGAGGGATATGCCTCAATAAAAACGTTAAAGTGTTATTTACAGAAATAAAATACTTACTATGAAAGTTAAGATAGTCTCCCTTTTGGCTGGCTTCAAGTCGTCATTCAGCGAATAGACTCTGATTTTCACTGTGAAAACATGTGACATCATCAGAAGCTCCGACAAACAAGCACATTTCAATATTTTGTTTATTTATTTACTTTATTCTTTCACATTTTATTTTCAGTCAGAATTTCACTAAAAATTGGTTAGTCTGGCCTTGAACTCACCCTGAAGCCTATTCTGTCCTTGAACTCATAATCTTCCTGCCTCAGCCTCTCATGTAGCTGGGATTACAGATTTAGGCCCTATGGTTTTTAAATTTTTCACAACCATCCTTAATGAGAGGATTTTCATTTAAAAGGCTATATGCACAATCCATAAATGAAAATATATATTCAAAAGAAAGAGAATCCTCTGAGATTCATTTAAGGAGTTACTTGTATTGAATTTAACATACAGTTTTATATATATATTTGTAGACAATCTTTGGGAACACATCCATAGTGTAAAATAATTTGTATCTGTACTATTTATCAAGTAGCTACCATATAGTTAAATGAGAGTATCAGATGTTGTCTTTATCAGAGTTAATGGAAAACTGGAAATTTGGTTCAGACAGTATGTATTCTACTTACAAAATCCAACAGGGGTAAAATACTATGACCAAAAGCAACTTGGGTTGGGGGGAGAGTTTATTTCAGCTTACAATTCTCAGGTCACACTCCATTATTGAGCAAAGTCAGGGCAGGAACTCCAGGCAGGAACCTGGAGGCAGGAACTGAAGGGGCCACGGAGGAACACTGCATACTGGCTTGTTCTTCCTGGCTAGCTACCCTGCTCTTACAAAATCATGGCCATTTGCCCATGGGTATCACCTCCCCCATCATGGGAAGGACCCACCTACATCAGTAATTGGTACAGTTCTATGAGGGGAATTGTATTATTATCTTTTTTTATCAGATGAGGAATGGGGCTGTGAGAGTCTAATTCACACATGATCACATAGTCAGGAATAGCCCATACTTAGATTTGAGCCCAGTTAATATGGCTCCAGAGACTGCATTCAAGCTACTCTAGTTTGCTACCTGTCCCCAAAGGAGAAACATCTGTAAGAAGTTCTTTCATTTTCCTTTATGACTAGATTCAGTGAAAGCACCTTATCTTCTTATCAGACAAATCCTGATAGGAAAAAATAAGGCCACTCCCAAGGGAAGCTCTAACAGCCAAGAGGGTCCTGGGCTCCGGGATCTAGACTGCTTACTTGCTATACAAGTCTGATGACCAGATGTGGTAGGTAGTGTGAATGGTACCCATTTCCCAAAGCATCCTCTGTGGTAGGAGGGCAAGGTGAAGTTATACTTGTTTCTAGGTATGATTAAGGTGAAAAAGACCCAATCTGTATGGGTAGAGACTATGGTTTTTCTTTTAAAAAGCCATCAACACCTTTTTTTTTTCAGCCTTCAAAAATTTTTAGGTGTGTGGGTGTTTTGCCTGAATGTATGTGTGCATGCTGTGCCTGCAGAGGTCAGAAGGGGGCGATGGATCCCTTGGGACCAGAGTTACAGACAGTTGTGAGCCAACGTATGACTGCCAGTGCCGAACCATCTCTCTCTCCAGTCACCCGCCCCCCCAGTCATCTTCTCTCCGTCAAGAGCTCACACTGATCTGGTAGTGACATCCTCACTCTCTCTAGCCTTTTCCTGCCTGAGCCAACCATAGCAGGCTCTCTACTCCACGTCACCGTTGACATCACCGTTGACATCACCGTTGACACCACCAATCACCATCAGCATTAGCATACTATGTAATGCTTTTCAATGAAGCTCGCTGATCCTCTCTCCCTTTTTCTGTCCTTCCCCATCAGTATTATTAATGAAATCTCATTGCTTTCTCTTTCCACAAACACGTCTCTTACAGATTGTCTCTTCAGAGTCAATGATGGCGAGAAGGAGATGAAGGAATTTTATGAGGTAAATCAGGGCTTTCCTCAACCACAGGCTCTAGGCCCTTCCCTCTGTAACAGATGGCATTGTTTTAACAGACACTTTCATAGACAAACGGCCTTTGAATATTAGTATCCACACATTCCCATGGTGTTGTTTATCCCTTCTGAGACATCTGGTCTCCCCTTGTTGGGTGTTGTTTCCCAGTTGAGAATTCAGTCCCGACTCTGCATTTGTTATGAACATGGCTCTGTCATAAATATTTCTCCTTTGTCTAAATTTTATTTGAAATAAAATCTATTTATTTAATGAGTAAGTTCTAACAACATTTTACAATGTTTGGGAAGCTTTTTTTATCTACTTGGAAATAACTGATAATACAGCAGATGTAATTTTGGATTTTTCAATCTATTTAGAAATTTCTTTATAAATTAAAAATCAAATGCTATTTGAAAACTATAAAAGTCGTTAGGAACTGAGGGCTGGTTTTGATCTTGTTATTTTTTTTTCAGGGTGAAAATCAGTCTCCACTCAATTCCATGTGTCAAAAGGGCTAAAATACCGCATCAGTTTCCCCACGAGGAAGCGCTTTGCCCGCTACCTGACTGGTCTGGAGTGTAAACAGGTTTGTCTGTGTGGATGAAGAGAAATCCATTGTCATAGGTTATTGGCATTTTTTTCGATTTTGAAAAATGCTTTGACACGACTTCTAGATACACATGTGAGATTGGGTCTTGTTCTCCAGGCAGTTGGCTGGGCTGTATCTGTAAGGACAATAGCGGAAAGAGTGTAATTCTAAGGTTATAAAGCACACTGCAAAACCACTGCAATCTCATTAGAATCAAAAAACGATTCTGCATATTACGTCATTTAGACAGTGGTATAGCCTAGCACTCTAGACACTGAAGCAGAAAGACCACGGTTTCAAGGGCACCCTGGGCTGCATAGTGAAACACTGTCTCAAAATAAACCAAGTCAACCAGCAAGTAAACAAAAGCAGCAGAATGGCACAAGAGCTAGAAGAGCAAATTAAAGTGGCCCAAGCCCTTCATTGTCCAATGTCATGATGAAAACTTTGCTGTCAGCAATGGAACATTAGCTGGAAAGATAGATCAATTGGTAAAGTACTTGCTTTGCAAGTACAAGGTCCTGAGTTCAAAAACCCAAAACCCAAGTTACAAAAAGGCTGGGTGTTGTGGCCAGTACTTGCAATCCCAGAACCTGGGAGGTAGAGACAGACAGAACCCTGGGGCCTGCCACCTGGTCTGCCTCATGTACCTGGTGAATTCCAGGCCAGTGAGAGACCCTGTCATAAGAAATAAGGCAGATGGCAACCAAGGAACCACAGCTGAACTTGTCCTCTGGCCTCCACAAGTAAGTGCATGGTTACCTGTACACACACACACACACACACACACACACACACACACACACACACACACAGAGGAGTGGGAGGGGGGAGGCCACAGTTTAAAAGAAAGCAAAACCCCACCCTCACCTCCACCCCCCCCACCCCGAAACCCAGAGACTCAAAAAGTACACCAGTGGTAGAATTACTGAGCAGATCTGCAGTCTAACCAGACAGGAACCCTGGGTCTAACACAGTATCGGGTACCATGAGTGCTGGGATCTTTCTTGGGGATTGATGGGAGCAGCGACAGGATGTCTGTATCGGCAAAGCCCCTCCCAGTAGAGCAGACCCTGAGGAGCCGGGCAGTATCAGGGGACTAATCTGGGTTCTGGCATGTTGTAGAATACCTCTAGTGTTGAGATGTGGTCTGAGCCTTAGACAAGAGTGAGACTTACTAGTTCTGCAGAACAGTGATAAAAGTGCTAGTGTGTTTGCCAATGGAGAGTTCACAAATAGCCCTTTCTAGTACTCAGAGACCTCCTCTCATTATTGCATTCCTGCCTACCCTAAAACCACACCTCTGGTTGGGGGACAAATGATACAAGGATCAACCCAGGAAACCTAACAACACAAAGGTCCAGCTGTTACGAGAGGAGACCAGGTTAAACTGTCAAAGAAACACAACCAACAATGCAGGGATGGAGTCCACCCTGGAGAGTGATGGCATAGACATCCTGCGTCCGTGTGGACCACAGTGAATACTCTGCACCCCTGAACGTGTGCGTGACCACATAAATACAGTCTGTACCTGAATACACACATGTGGTTTTATCGAGACAGTCTAGACTTGTACCGAGACAAGTGACCACACAGGGACAGAGGTTACTTAGTACCTACATTTAATTTCATAGACCACTTTGTATTGCATTATTCTCCCAAAGTACACAGGCACTTTCCATGCCTTGGCCTTCTGGTGATTCAATTGCTTCAGGTTGAGTGGTTACATTTTTTTAACTCTTTTTTATTTCTATTCCACCTTTGACTGTAACTATTTCATTTCTTCTCTTCTTTATTGGTCCCATTTAGCTTTCTCCCCATTTTTCTTTATTGTTTTAATGCTAATAGCTAATTTTACTTCAGTTACTCAACTTCCTATTTCCTTCCATTCCTACTCTTAATAGCTAATACCTAAGTCACACTATGCTGTCTTTGATCCTTTATTGTCCTGAAGTTATTGGAATTAAAAAGGTGATTTTTTAAATTCATTCTTACTGTATTTTCATAGCAGGCCTACTTATCAGTTGTGGTTACTTCTGCAGTTAGAAGTCTACTCTTGGAGTAATAATAGAGATTGTGCCTGGTCCCCTGAGTGTGTGGGCTGAGAGTTTAGCCACTGAGTCTAGAGTTGGAGAAACAACAACTAACCCTACTACACCCTAGTCCCACTTGAATGGGGGAAATATTTTAACTGAAAAAAATACAGGTGATTAAAAAACAAACAAACAAAAAACAACCAATGACCTAATCCCAGATGCTCAAATCCAATTGAAGTAACAATAGAAACATAAAAAAAATCACAACATGACTCCTCCCAAAATTACCAAACCACAATAATAAGTTCCAATGAATGTGAATTAAATGAAATCCCAAAGAATTTAAAATAATAATTATAAGAATATTCAATGAGCTCAAAGAGTACATGAATAAATTCCTGAATGAATTAAAAGAGAATTAAAAAATCTGAATGAAATGAGGATGCCAATAGAAAATGTGAAAGGGAATTCAATAAAAATAGTAAAAAAAAAAAAAAGTCAAACTGAAATTTTAGAAATGAAAACCTTAATAAGATGAATTTAAAAATTCAGAGGAAAGCCCTTCCAATAGAGTGTATCAAGTGAACAACATGGCCTAAAGGCAATACAGATAACTTAGAGCAGCCAGACAATGTCTGTAATAAAGCAACAATAATACGTGAACAGAACATACACCATTTATGGGACACCACGGGAAAAAACCTCTATAGTTCAGGAGCATAGAAGAGTTCAAGCTAAGTCAGAGAAAAACATATTCAATAAAATCAGAATGGAGCAATTTCCAAATCTAGAGAAAGAGGACCCCCTCTTGATACAGGAGACATTTAATATTCCAAATACACTAGATCAGAAAAGAATCTCTCCACATCATAATATAGTTAAAACACTAAGTACACAGAACAAGGAAATAATATTGAAAGCTGCAAGTGAGAAACACAGAATCATTTTTAAAAACAGAACACATCAGAGTAAGATCAAATTTTCAATAGAAACTCCAAATGCCAAGAGAGCATGGAACAAAGTATTTTCAGCTGTGAGAGACAGTTGCCAAACCAGATTACTATATCCAGCAAAGATATCCCTCAAAATTAAAGAGGAAAGAAAATCTTCCAACAATAAACTTATGGCCACACACCAGCAGCACAGATACCACAATGAAGAGAAAGATAAACACATCCATGAAGCCACAGGAAAGAATAAGCCACACTAGAACAATAATACTCAATTAAGGAATAGAAAGCACCAAATACTACAAAAATAGAATTTAATACACCTTTCAATAATAACTCTGGATGTCAGTAGTCTCAATTCTCCAATCAAAAGACACAGTGTAGCAGATTGATCTTAAACATGGAACCTATCTATTTGTTGGCTGCAAGAAACACATCTTACTGACAAAGATGAACATCTAAACATGGAAGGGTTGAAAAAAGAATTCCAGCTGGGCGGTGGTGGCGCACGCCTTTAATCCCAGCACTCAGGAGGCAGAGGCAGGGGGATCTCTGTGAGTGTAAGGCCAGCCTGGGCTACAAAGTGAGTTCCAGGAAAGGCACCAAAGCTACACAGAGAAAGCTTGTCTTGAAAAAACAAACAAAAACAAAAACAAAAACAAAAAACAAAACAAAACAAAAAGAAATCTGAGCAAATGGACTAGTCAACAAGCAAGCAAAGCTACTATGACACCTGAAAAAACAAACTTAAAAACTAGTCAAAAAAGATAAGAAGGTCACTTCATATTAATTAAGGCCATAGTCCACTAGGAAGACATTACAATCCCAGATATATGTGCGTCGGACATCAGCACACCCAGACACAAAACAACACAACCAGATGAAAGGCACAGGCTGACATCAACAGAACAATAGTGATTGTCTACAACACCATACTCTCACCAGACACCCCCCCCCCCCCAAAAAAAAAACAGTCAGGAAACATCAGGTTTAAATGTTAGTATAAGTCAAATGGACTTTACAAACATCTGCAGAATATTCTACCCAAATACTGAAGAAAACACATTTTTCTCAGTGACCCACAGGACTTTCTAGTATGTCTAGCTGAATAAAAGAGTTTAAATGATTTCTTATAATCTATCTGATGACAACAGACTCAAACTAGAAACCAACAGCTGGAAAATTATAGAAAGTACAAAGTTATGGAGATTGAACAACATATCCCTGAATAATGAGCAAGTCATCAGAGATCGGGGGGACATGTAAAAATACCAAGAATCACATAGAAGGAAACATGACAGAATCTGGGGTGGCACAGCCATATCTGAATGGAATGGCAGAAGTCATAAAGCCAGCACAGCTGCTTGACAAAGATCCAGCAAAGCTGAGCCACATGATGGCTGCCACGCCACCTTTGGTTCTCATCTCCACCTGCTGCATACTTGGGGCACTTTTAATATTTGTACAATTTGGGGATATTGGATTGATGGAAAATTCCTTATGAATCATTTATGCCTTCTCCCAGGAATGCTGCTTCTAAGCTTCCCCAGGAAAGCCCTGAACATACTATTCCTCCTGCTTTGAGGGAGATATCCTTATCTACTTGAAGGTCTTCCTTACGCCTTGGAGGTTGTGACACATAAAGAAGTCAGAGGTCCTTCATGAGGCTATGAGACATTCTTGAAACATCTGTCCCTGTACTTACACAGGAACAAGATATTCAAAACAAAGTAAGCTTAAAAAGGTCAACAAGATTTGGTGGGCTAGAGGAGTTGGCCACAGTTCAGATTACAAGCCTCTTCCCATGGTACACTCAGACAATTATGTGGCATACAACTCTGCCCTACATAGAGACATATTGATGAGCAAAGTATGGAGTGGAAAGATGATAAAAGTATGAGGTGTCAGGACCTGCCTCTCTTTGAAAAGTTAGCTCATGCAGAGCCACTGTAATGTCATATTACCAAGGAACAACAGAATGCCAGAATTAGACATATAGACAAATTCTATAAAGATATAAATGTGAACATTGATTGTATTATGTCAGAATTTGAATAATAACTGCAGCATCTTTGGCCTGAGGATTTTTCCTGGGCATTCTGACCGCTAAGAGTTAATAATACACTGTTGAGACATGGCAAAATGCCCAA